TTTTGGTTTTTCTGACTCAAAAGGTTGCCGACCCCTGGCCTAAGGTGACTAAGATCAGAGTATGTGGTGCAACCTGAGTGATGATTGTTCAATTGGTCTACCCTTGTCGGTGCACCCTCTATCGCATAACAAGTTGAGGTTCTTGTTAATTGGCTAGTTATTTGTACATTGAAACGAAGATGAAAATGAATAATCCCTTGTTGTGAGGGGAGAACTTTATCTCTTGTCCTGAACGTCTTTGAAAACTTAAGTTCATCTTAACTTAAGTTCACGTTCAACTCACTTAAGTTCACCTTCAACTTAAGTAAGTTCACCTTCAACTTAAGTAAGTTCACCTTCCAAAGTGATGCAGCACAGTGATGGGTCAAAAGGTTTAATTTCAACCTCCAAGAAAGGGAAAACTGGAGGACAAAGGGAAATAATGATGAATAAAAAAAATGTTTTGAGTTTTAAAACTCACAAAAGAGCCTAAATCCTCATAGTAGTAATAATTTAATAATGCACTATGTTTATATGAATCATAGATTCATAAGCCACTTAGCTAATTGAGAATAACAGATAAATATACAGTATTTAAATATTTCTTTTAGCAATTTACATCTATTTGAATGTTTTTATTTACATTTTAACAAGAAATTAAAATCATATGCTCTTTCCTATATATATTTTAATCTTATAACAGACATTGTTTAGATCAGCTATTTTGTATTTTTATTTTCTGTTTAATGTCTTCTATCTGTTATCCGAATATCTTGCATGGAAAGAAATTCTTTGCTATTTGTTTCCGTTATGATGATGCACTTTTATTTTAATGCATCAGGTGATTTGAAATATATAGTAACTCATTTTTCTCTTCCTACTTTATGTTTATTTTATTCCCTTTTTCACNCCTTGGTAAAAGAGACACCTTCAACTGGATCGGAGCGTGGTCGCTGGTCACAGTGTCCGTACTAGGTCTCCACGTTGCCAACCCCAACAGATCAGGGGTACACAGCGTTAAATCAATCGCCGAGGACCCTGACCTGTGGAAAAAGGTAGGTTCACCCGTATTCCAACAACACCACCCGTTTGACAATATCCAATCAAAGAGAGCCCTGCCCGCTGCGTCCGGGCGAGTACAATCGTAGTCCCAATAGGGATGGTGAGCGTTCCAATCGCCCGCAATAATACGGGAATTGGACGGAGCCAACCGCCAGCCCTCAAGTTGCTCGCGATCCTGAATCCCCGTTGGGGCATAGACATTAACCAATGATAAGGAGAAATCCCCGATAAAAACTCTCACCTCCAGAGTTTCCAACCCTCGCACACTAAGGCCCGGCGATTGGAGCACGACCGGCCATTTGTCAGCCACCGCCGTCAACAGCCCTCCCCCCGGTCCTGTAGACCGATCAGAACGGAAAATAGTAAACCCCGGTAAGGTAAAAGACTGTCCTCCCGTTAACCACGTTTCCTGGATCATGAGCACATCCACCGTTTGAAACCACTGCTCCGTTAGAAGGAGGTCTCTTTTTGCCCGTAGTCCGTGCGCATTCCAGTGAACAATCGTAAAACCCCGCCTCTCCCGCCGATTGTCAGACATTTGGGATAGAGGTAAGAGATGGACGCCGACGGAGTTTTGCCAACTCCGCTGGTGATGCTACGCAGTGATCATCTATAATTTNTAAAAACTTCAATTATTTGAATGTAGAAAATAAATAAATTTTGATTTTCAAGATATTTACAATGCAAACAATTATAATAAACAATAAAGTATTTTGTTTGAAATAATAGTGAAATTAAAATTATTTCCTTTGGGATCTAAGAAAAATCCAATGGATTAAATTAAGTAAAATGATTTATTTTGATTTTTCTTGAATGTTGTTTCTGTAAAGAAGAAGGCATTCCAGCAGTGGCATGTAAATTTTAATTAAGGACCCCATGTAGAGTGTTGTCTTCAGACATTTTACTTTGGGGAATTTTTTGAGGGGAATCCCCTGGTATCTTCATTCATTTTAAACAACACCTCTGGAGGGTTAAGTTCTGTATTGCACCTGCACCACACCAGCAATCTAGAGTCAGCAGATATGGTGCAAAATTTAAATTTTGGTATTCTTACTACAGCAATGAGTTTATAAAAGATTTGCCTGGGGCGTCCTCCAACAGGAGGCCCCAGGCAATTTTCCTTTTTGCCCATGAGATAATGCCATTGCATTCCAGGTAGGAGATTGTGACATTTTAAATATCAGGAATTTTCTATGCTAAATAACAAAGGATAAACTAAAAAAATACTATTGGTGTTGTCATTTCTATGTATTCAGTAATAATGTAAATATAAAGAGAAAATATATGCAAATATAAAATAATAAAATCAATATTTGTATTCAGAAATATTTTCAAGGAACGGAAGTCTGTATATAGTTAATCGAGATCTTCAGCCACTAATCTGGTCAGATTTTGTGATGCCTTGTCCCTGTATGTACTGTATATCATACTTCTCCTTATAACAATCGAGTCATGCTGTCATCTATCTAACTCCATTTTGGAGAAAAGTTTTGAATTTAAATCACGTAACTTCCGGTACAGGAAATTCATATACAGTTAACCAGGCCTCAGGCCCCTAAACTTTCCATATCTGGTCTTGATTTTCATCTAACTCCGTTCTGGATATTAACAAAGGGCATCTACTTGCACCCCTGAAGAGGGGTGCAAGTAAAACAAAATTTGCACCCGAAATGCATTGTAATGTAATAAAGGACAGACAGACAGACTGAAGAATGATAGTGGGAAGTCATATATCTGCAGTTTAAAACTTTCAGCCCAATTAACAGAGCTGCAAAACTAATTGCAAAAAATTTCGCGAAAATCTTGGATATTCGTAAATTTATATCCAAGATTTAATAATAATTTTAGAACAAAAACGGACGTAAGGAAGAAGATACTTGAAACTTCAATTCCAAATAGAATATTATGAGAAAGTAAAAATTTTCAGCATTAATTAGGCTGAAATTTTCAAAAATTGTAAACCTATAAATTGCTCCATTAATCTCGAGAATGCAGTTAGATCGNTGTTTCCCCCCACGTTTCTTCTTAGGAGTTCTCCCTATCTTGCGCTGCAACTCGCCTTGGGAAGGACGTTTGAAATTCGCATTTCCCGACCCTGGAGGATGCGTGATCTCCCTTGAGTCTACCTGCTGGCTCCCCTGAGTCACCGCGCAGGTACTCCCTTGGCACGACTTCCGCAATTCAACAAGTTCATTACGTAATACCACTATAGCAGTTTCCAAGTTCGCTATTCTAGAGATAAGCGTCTTCAACACCCCCTCGTCCACCCTGGCATTGACCGATGCCTGTCTACTCTGTGTTTGTCTTACTCGTTCTCCGTCTCCCGCCTGGGATCCAGATGTTACTCTGACTGCCTGAGCATATGTTGTTGGGGATTTGGAAGTCTTCTCCAATTTACCCCTCGCTTCCATATGAGAGCACGTGTGTAACGTCCGCAGTTTTAATATCCGCGCCTCCCGTTGATATTCTGGACAATACGCAGAGTCCGCTGTATGTTCTCCTCCACACCTAGCACACCTTATATTGTCTGCCTCGCAATCCGTCGCGTCATGATCTCGTCCGCACTTCAGGCATTTCCGACTGCCTCTACAGTTATTCTGCCCGTGACCGTAATTTAGACACCGCAAACACAGCCGAGGACGGGGGTAGAAACGTTCGCATCGAAACCGTTGATAATATAATTTCACAAACGCCAGTGGAGTAACACTGGCCACCGACAAATAAACAGTAGTACTAGGCGCCATGACACCCTCCACCTTCCGAGTAAACCGCCGAACCTCGAGAATCGGAACTCCCTCCTCCTCAAGTAAATCGTGGATTTCCTTAGCTGATATTGTCGTATCCACTCCCCGAATAACGTAGCCTGTAGATACGCAGTCTTGGGCCAGCCGACCGTGAACCGGCGTGTCCCCCAAAGACGTAACCCCAAGGGCCGTAGCCGCGACTTCCGGATCTAACGTTTTTAGTAAAAGTAGACCATTACGCGTATAATGCACGTCCAGTATCTTCTCCGGATTAGGGAAATACCCCCGCAAAACCGCATGCAAGTCAGGTGGACGCAAACGGCGGAGGGGATGATCCCCTTTCCAGAATATGGAGTGTGTTCCTCCGTTATACTTTGCCGTATCCAACCAAGTTTTGTGACTTCTGTCACCGGAGACAAAAACCGAAGCAGCGAAGGTTGCAACTCCGTTTCCACCCCTATGTCCATAGACCCAGACCGGTCAGGCCGGGGCGAAGACGCCCCGACTCCCGAATATCCCGCCACCACTTGAAAACACTCAAACTACACTCCTACCTGATACGTCTGTCCCACGAAATCCCGTTCCAAAGACAGAAAATACCTCTGAACGACCCAAACCACTCCAAAACCAAGGACTGGGGAGGCAGATAACTCCGTACACTGTCTCACAAGCCTTCTCTTCCAATGTCAAAACTTTCACTCCTTGTCAACTCAGACTTTCAAATTTGTTTTAATCAAACATCAAGTCCTGCGGGGGGGGGGTTTGTTAAACGTTTATCTAATAAAATATAACAGATGGCGCCACTAAAATTTTTAAAGTCGCCGGGAATGTTGAGCAACTCGTTGCTGGTTTTATTTATAAGTACATTTTTTAAAGATTAAAATGTTTCAGGTAAATCTTTGTTTGACGTTATTTATAATAATGTTATACGATAAATAAAATATACTATTTTTTTTAATTTAGACACTTTTTATTCACGTAAGTGCACAGAAAAGTAAAAATTAAATTTTACTTTTTAGCGCACTTGTGAATAAAAAACGTTTTTATAAATTTTCTTTAATAATTTTTTATTTTCTACTTTTTAGTTTTATATATGTAACACCAGGGTTCGACCTTGGCCACCTGGTGTTAAATTTAGCTTAAATGATATTTAGCTAATTTTTAAATATTATTATTAAAACTGAACAAAAATTAAAATATTTTTAATGAATTTAAGCAATAGTAAAAATAGTCGATAGGCAATGTTAAATCCGTATAAAATTTTTCTCCATTTTTAAAAAGTCACGTGTTATCATATGATTCTCAAACAAAACGCACGTGAGTTATTTTAAAATGGCTGATGTTTTGACTGGAAGCTATTAGATGTTAACGAACTGATGTTACTATATCGTTTATATTATGCAAGAATGCAATCAATATGAGTTTAAGAGCTATTTGGATAGTTTCGCTCTGCCAAGATTTCGGAAAAGTTTATTATTTTAGGTAAATGTACAGTACATTCCCCTATAGGACTTTAGGAAGGGGAGAGAAGTAGGCTGGCCCAAAAAGGGGAGGATTTCCATGATTATTTGCCACATACTCCTAGTTTCTTCATGATGATTTTTATTTCAATAGTTATCTAGTTATTTCAACTTTTATAATTTCTAAATATCTCTGGGTATAGATGTGTGAGTTGCCAGAAAGGGAAAAGCAATTCTTTTGGCTGTGATCACACCTTGTGATTTCCAGCCACTCAGGCAACTGCAAGTGCAACAACTGTTCCCGATAACTAGTAAACCCCACCTAAAACTGATGCAACCACAACCGCGACTAGAAACAAAAAGTTTATTCTATTTTTGCTGATAAAAAATATTCATTCACTCAGCAAATGCCTTTGTGTCATGTTATGTGGTGATGTCTTTGAAATTATTGTCGTCATGGCAGAAAGTGAGAATACTGGTATGGTTTTAGAATTGAGATGGATTGAGCTTATTTAAGTTCACGACTGTTTGTGGGGTTTTAATTCTTCATTTTTATCAAAAAAAAAAAAGATGAAAGAGCACAGGCGTGGCATGAGATAAGCAAAACTCTTGCTGTTGATTTTGTAAGCATTTTGGATATAAAATGTTGACTAGTTTTAGTGTAGTAATGGCAGTATTTTAAATATAGCTAAAGAACTAAGTAAAAAGTACCATTATTTGCCAAAGCCATTCCCTTGCATTAAAAAATAAAAAAGATAGCAGATGAAGTGGATGTTGGTTTATTATAAGGTCACTTGTTGCCGAGTTGCAATGCCGACAATTTGATCACGACAAGACACATGCAACTCGTGCTTGTTGTAGACATGTAAAGAAAATGGTATTACTGTCTCTAACATAAAATTTTAAATTACTTAATTTTGGACTTTGTGTAGGCTTTGACAGTTTGTACAGTACAGTGAGTGATCGGTTAACAAACATAATCTGTTCCAAGACTTTGTTCGCTATCCGAATTGTTTGTTAACTGATTATCGATTTACCATAGGTTTTTATGGGAATTTGATTAATGCGTTCTGGAGACCCCAAAAAATAAAAAAGATATATATTTTCTTACTAAGTTTATTTATATGTAATAATAAAAATACATACATACACAGTCTTGAATTTTTATTAGTCATGTTTTTTCCGTTTGTGGGGTTAAAGAATCTGTCTAATGTCGATTGCTTTTCTCTCTTCAGGATTTTTCAGAAGTCATTAATAGCATTATAATTGTAGAGATCCCTAAGTCTATTAACCTCAACCTGATTTGGATGACATTCTAAGACTGTCGTTCTGACATCCTCCCACTTCTCAAAAGATCTTTAACCCCTTCAGATTTTGTATATTTAAATAAAATATTCAAAGTTATGCATTAAATTGGATTAAANCATTGTTCAGAGTTTTTCAAACAGTTGAAAGGAGAGCACAAAAAATACATAAGGATTTATTTACAAAGATTCCTAATTGTGATGAATTTAGTAAAAGTTTGTTGATTAAACTTGGATTGAACTCATCAAAAGAGGTAAAAATTAATTTTAAAATAGAAATTTAATTATATATTTGCATTTAATTTGGATTTTGTAGAATTAATTGAATAATGAAGTTTGATACAATAAAATATAAAAAATAATAAATGTTCATTGTAGTTTATAGAATGGAGAGATTCTGCATCTTCTCAAATGCAACTACCTGTTCTCAGTTTAAAAATAAATGATGGTGAATTATGGCCAGTTCTTGTAATTGAACAGGTATTTGATATTTAAGTTTTTAAAATTTCTTGCTTATTATTTTATTTGTTGATACAAAAAGTAAATATTAGAAATATATATATAAAATATTTACTTTGAGGCAAAATAATTTATATAATTGAGGATCAAATAAAATTATTTTTGTAATTTTGTAATTTTAATGAAAAATCAAAATATATGTAATTAAAAATATAATATCTTTGATATGTAAAGGGAGTTGGGGCTGAATGATACATGGGTCATGTTAGTTTTGAAACTTTCCAAAGTATCTGCACAATATTTTATAAGTTGTGTATTAAGATTGTCTGTCTGCTATTAGCAATAAGTGTTACTAATAGCAGACAATCTCATCATGAAAAGCCATGAATTATCAGCCGTTTTCTGTTGGTTCTTAACCCCTCTTCGGTTGGCATTATATCCTGTAATAACATATATATGACAATCGAAAATACCGTCACATCTCGAAATAGCATATATACAACAACCAAAATACATCTAGTTCAGTTGAGGTGTTTTTGCAGGTAGATTATATCTTATTCTTACACCAGACATCTTTTAGGCACTTTCTGTACATCGAACTTCTCCATCAACATACTATATGGCAAATATACCAACTGATGTAGTTCTCTTGTCACAATTAAATTCAAAATATTCTGATACTATGAAATAAAAAAAAAATTCTTGAAGCACACTTTTGCCAAGAAAATTGTTGATGTTTTCCATGCTCTGCCATTACACCAATAAACAACAAAATACGAATTGTAAACTTCGGGAAAAAATGATTTATAATAATACATTACTTTTTGAACCTAAAAATTTAAATTACTCTTAACACAGTTATAAAATGTTAGGAAATTATTCTAGTACTGAAATGACATTAGAAAACTTGTAAACTAAAGACAGCGACACCTAAATTAAGATTCAAAACACACATCTTGTCGAGATTCCAGAGGTGCAGCCATTGGGACCACCTAAGTAAACTTCTACCTCTTTTTCTTTGCATAAACACAGTTTATTGCAATAAGCTTTACATTTTGTGGTTTTCTGTTCACTAGAAATTTAAGCTACTTAGTTGATATATAAAAATAAAAAACCTTTATACAAATATATATATTTATATATATATTTGAAATTTCAGATAATAAAGATATATAAAAAGAGTTACAGCAGAATGATAACTTTTTTTTATAACTGCTTAGGAAACTAAATCCATTTTCAAATGTGTACACATAATCAGTTCTTTTGTATCTCCAAAATATTAAACACTCAAAGTTGCTCTACAATATCAGAAATATGTATAGATATTATATTTTTTTTCAGGAAATATGAATTTCCAAATTCTAATTTTGTTTCAAGTAAAAACTTCATATCAGATGGTCTATATAGCAAAATAATTTTTCTAATGCACTGCTCTGTCACACTTCACAGGAATAAATATGAGTCAAGATGGGACAGATAAATGTGTGTCAAAATATCACATTCTAGTCTGCTTCAATCTATTCATGATCTATTATTTGATAATTATTATTGTAACTCAAATATATAAAGTTCATCCTTTCTTAAAAAAGTATTAAATAATCAACAATATGCATACCTAATTTAAACAATCTATATGATGATGTGTGTTGTTTGGCTTAAATTTTTTATTAAAAAAGTTAAAATGTTCATAGTATTATGATATCAAAAATTTATTTAATGTGATATTTCATTTCAATCATCATTAAAATACATAGTCTTCCTTAAATCCCAAAACATGTCTCAACAAATAAAGTTCTGAAATAAAAAGTTGATGATGAAAATTGCCAAGTGTCTATGAATTCACCCAGTCATAACATTGAATCAAACAGTAAATTAAATTACCGAAAAGATCGTGATACTTTTAGATGTCATAAACGCAAGATGAACAGTTCATCATTTGAAGTTATTTATAAACATAAATTTGGGAAAATTTCTTGGAAACGAATTCTTTGTTTATTTGGCATTTAATTTGCATAGAATGCATGTTGAGTGTCACCTGTTTGGCTGTGGGCATAAGTAGTCGAACAACTGTTGACTGGTGAATTTTATATGACACATTATGATTGTTTCATCATCTAATTTTACTGGAATGAAAATTGGATGGACTTAGAAACGTCAAAATCAACACGATTGTTGTGAGCAAAATGAAAAAAACTAGGAGAAAGGTGTTTGATCTGTTTGTTCAGCATACAAATAAATTTTATTCAGGAGCAAGACATGTTTTAGTTTGGAAAGAGCCAGATATTGTAACTTCAGTCCTGAAAGTAAGTGCCAAATAAATCTGAAAATTGTAAGCAATGTGTGTTAAGAATGCAGGAAAAATTTCTATAATTGAAAAGGACAAAGTTACAATAGAATCATCCGAACCATGTTTTTTACTGAATAAATTGGAGAAAAGGAATTAGAAATATGTCAATGGTGAGTGAAAGCTTATTTCTTTAAATGCCATTGTAGTAAGTAGCTGCACTGGTTGCCATCTTGTTTGTGGACATAGTGTTCATAAACAAGATGGTGACCGGAAGTGCCACCATTGGTTCTACCTATGTAAACTTTTATCAAAAAAGACTTACTAAAACTCAAATAAAAAAATATATTTACTTTGATTCTAAAGGGAATCAAGACAGTTTTTTCTATTTGAATGTGTATTCTTTGGTAATGTGATGAATGATTTAATTAACTAAGTTTCCAGAACATACTACTACTATTTTTTGAGCATCCTATTAGAATAGAAGACACATTTTTAGCTTAAATTTAATCTTAAATCATTTTAAGTTAAAAATATTTTGAAATTAGATAAGTAAATGTAATAAGAAACATTTTTAATGTTGCATAATTGTAAAGTGAATTAAAATATAAATTTGCGTTATATTTAACTAAATAAAATTTTCTAAACATTAGATGTTTTTCAATAAACTTATCAACACATTAATATGAAATTATCCCGTATAGTTAATATTATATATATTCAATTTTACAGTTTGGTTATCTTTTTTGTTGTTTACCTTTGGTAGAAGAAAAATATGAGAATGATCATAAAATTTCACTTTTTCAAATGTAAGTGAATTTTATTTTTTATTTAATTCTATAAATTTAAATATCATTTTCATATTTAAACTTTTATCTAACTACAATCAATTTTTTTTAATAAAAAATATTTCTGTATAGAAAACTTGTACTTTAATTTTACTTTATAGTCATAAATAGTTTAGAGCAGAGATATTCATTATCAACAAGCAATTATTTATTGTGACATTGTCACAATGCTAGGCTGCAACTTTTAATTATATATTTTTAATTTATTTAATTCAAAATATATGCTCTCCACCTCAAATTAGTACTATAGTGTTTTGCCCTTGTACATCATACTTTTCCGTTAGCATTGGAGCAATGGTCATCTATCTAACTGCTTTCAGGGAAAAATTTTTGAATTGAAATAATATGACTTTCAGTTTGTATTGGAAATTTGTATATAGTTGATCAGGGCCTCCTGCCCCTAAGATTACTCTATTTGGTCTCATCGTTCATCTATCTAACTCTGTTCTCAAGATTAAGGAAAGATAGGCAGACAGATGGACAACAGTGGAAATTTATAGGTTTAAAATTGAAGTCCAATAATAAGGAAACATTTAAACAACTTTCAAGAAATATAGTATATGCAGTCAGATACAGATCACTTCAATAAAGATTCTGTGAAAAGAAATTGAAGATATAATAATGAAACTCATTTATTATTTTTGTTTTAACAGTTAAAACAAATATATATTCCAAAAAGACATTGCATACAATGTACAATCAATATTTTTTACATATTAAACTCATCCTTGCCAGTATATTAATTAATATATTTTTATTATTTTATAATTATGCCATTATTCTGAAATTTTTAAATGTTTTTTTTGCATATTGTGGTGGATGTGTAGCTTCTAACAAAAGGTTGACTTCACTGGAAAAAAAACAACAGTTGTGTTTCTGTGGTGTATGAAAGGGTGTAATGAAGTCATCTATAGTTTATTCTACTTTTTACAATAATTTTATTCTAAAACATTAAATTTATTTTATTTATTAAGATTATATTAGGTAAATTTAATAATTAGATAATTTAAAATAAATATAGAAGTCTGTGAAAGCAATAGCCTGGATAATTATGTCCCATTATATGAATGTATTTCAAGTTTATACTGTGTATATATTTGGTTCTGGAATCATTCTACACCAATACAAAGTTTAGATTGATGCATACTCATAATAATTATTTTTAAATTAATTGAAACCTTATCATTAATGTTTTATATATATACTTTATATTTATTTATTGTAAAATAATAATGCATTGTATTTTTTTTTTTTAATTTAGTCAGTCTGTAAGTGTTGGATTTTCAGTTCTGCTTGGCATTATAAGTTTTGTAGGACCAATTATCTCAAATGAAGTAAGAACATATTTATTAATAAGTAATAGTTAAGAAATTATTTATCATATTTGTTTAATAAAATTTTTATTTCAATTTATTATTTAAATTATTTATTTTTGCAATTTATAAATTTTATTTTGATTTTAATTATTTTAATATATTATTTTCCAGATATCAAATAAGTTTATTGAACTAGATAATTATTTATCTCTCAGTATGCCTTTTGGTCTAACATCTGATACAGAGCCATCAACAGTTAAAAGCATTTTACATTTACCAGAAAATGATTTAGGAACATCAAAGACAACATTGAAGGTTTTTAATATTAATTATTTTTAACAAAGTATCCATATGTCAGAGATGTTTTAATATATTTCATGATAAACTAATTTAGCAAAAATATAAAAATATATTAAAATGGTATTTATATTCAATAGCAACCAGCTTGGAAGCCTATGAATTACAAAGGAAAACCATCTGTATTCATTCATCTTACAGAATTTGTAAGATGTATACAGGTATTTAAAAATTTTTTATTTATTTGGATTAACTCTTGCTAATTATAATGTTAAAGTTTAAGTTTTCATTTAATGAAATTATATTAAAATGGATAAGCAGAGATTATTTTACATTTTCAAATAAAATTTATTTACATTTTTTCATTTTCAAATATAATTTTTGTTTTAAAGTAAATTATGTTGAAAAATTAAATAATAATTCAACACTGACTTTTTAATTTTTAACATAATCTTAAATGCTTTCATTTAACAGCAATTATTAATTTATTTATTTAAGAAGTAAATGCATGCTTTAATTAAGTTCTAATATTACTTATTGAAAAACATATTTAAAAAACAACATAAAATAAAAAGAAATTTTTTTATAAAAACAAAAAAGCTTTTTATAATGCTATTTTTATTAAAAATGTCTTCACATTTCATCCTTTTTTAAACCTCAGACACATAACAGTTTAATGGAAAAATTGGTTTTTATGTTGAAGCTCTCATAAACCTCAATACACGAAGCCCAAAAAAAAAGGAGCCTTTGGCAATGGCACTATTATAAAAATGTATTGTTGATAAAAAGCCAGGATGATAAGTATACTTAAAAAAATTGTTAAAAAATGATTCCTGTTGATTTATATTAATTTTGTATGATATTAAAAATTGCATGTAAGGAAATTATTGATACATAGATAGAGGTGGTTGTCAAATATTTTTGCATTTTTTTTTCTTAAATACTAATATATAGTAACATATTCAAGAATCTACATTTTATTGACTTTAAAACATTTTCAAAGTGCCTTCAGCATATTTATACAATAATATTGCTAAAAAAATAGAACTGAAAATGTCTCAGTAATGTTTTTAAATTAAATTTAAGACAAAAACCATAAGGTTTTTGGGCTATATTTATACTATTTATTAAAAACAGCATAAATATATTATTTTAAAATCCAAAACTAATATTAAAAATATATATAGATGTGGCTAAAATTTCAAATGATAAGTTAAAAATATAAAATTAAAAAGTTGATATAAATGTAACTTAAAATATTCAGCAGTTTTTCATTTAGATTTGTTATTGGAACATGGCTTTGACTTGTTTTGAAGTTAATAAATTTAGGTTTTTAAATAGCTTTTTTTAAATAAACTTACTTTTTTTAATAGGAAAAGTTATATTCTAAAATTAATAGTGTTATTCAAATAATAGCTGTAGTTGCTATTTTAAACTGCATATTTTGTCTAGTTATTATCATCTTTGTACGTACTCACTTAACATTCATTATTAATAAAATATTTAAATATTTATTCGTGAAAGTTTGATTTTTCAAGCAAATTATAGTTGAAATAGCAACTAGTATCTTTCTTTGTAATGAATATTACATTCTATATACTACAGTAGAGCCTCAATTATCCGACCCAACTGGGGACTGGGGTTGGTCGGATAACCGAAAAGTATGAAAAAATCCATTATTAGTGTAATATATTATTATATCCCATGTAATTAGTATATTAGTATATCGCTATTAACCTACTTCGCGTTGAATTTTCATCGATGTTAAGCCTAACAAAAATTTTTTAAAATAATAATCGTCGCTATTGTATCGTTAAAAATTAGAAAATTAAGCCTCGTTTAAATACTGGCTCCCTTTCATGGTTTAATGAGTGTTGCCAGCTAAAACACGTAAAAATAATATTAAAGTAGCCGAGACATAGCCAAATATTGTAGCGCCACATGACTAGCGGACATTTGAAATCTGCCGACTAGGATGGTCGGTTAACCGAGGTGGCAGTTAATCGGGGGTCAGATAATCGAGGCTCTACTGTAATTATAAGAAAATAATTAAAAAATGCATTTATTGTATATTTTTACCATTTTACATATTTCATTTTCTATTAAAGTTTCTTTGTTAAAAAAAAAATATATATATAGTACCTGTCTACTATAGTCTACATTCTTTATTAATTTTACATTGTTTCTCCAAATTTTCAGAAATCTTCAAGTTGTAGATGCAGCTACTATTTTATGGCAGTTATTATTCAAATAAAACCAGTAATCAATTTTTATTTTCTGTTAACTTTACTTTCTTAAATTTAAAAATTAAACTTCTTCTAACTAATAAGAAAAATGTAAAGACACAGTCTATTAAAAAGTTAGATCAGATTGCCAGCTTTTATGTAAACTGACTAATATCTAACTGGTTTAGGCTATTCTAATTTGATATATTATTAAAATATATTTGATAAAATGACCAGAACAGTAAAGTGAGTGAGGTATGTAGAAAGGATGAGATGAAGACACATGAAAACACTTTTAATGTATTGTCTGTTTTGAGAATTTTTTATAGATTTTCTAAGTTTGTACCTACTATCTTGGCCATTTTACAAAATGTATTTTTTAACTGTGCTGTTGCTATAGGAAAGATTTTAACGTTTTACTTTTTAAAGTAGATGAGAAGCCTCTGAAGAAAGATCAACTCTTAATAATGCATTGTCTCTTTTGAAAACTTTTTAATAAATTTTCTAAATTTATTTTATCAAAGTATTGAGACTATTTAAATTAAGACAGTAATAAGGTTATATAAATATTTATTTGATATTGTTTTTTGGTGTTTTCTAAGAATAATTCATAGAAGAATTAAATTTTAAAAAATGTATAACAACATTTACAATTACTAATACAGTGGAACCTTGTTTAATGAGCATTGCACATAATGAGTGTTTCGCATAATGAGCAAAACAAATTGTAAAAAGTTGCCTTGCTTAATGAGCGATGTCTCACATAACGAGTGACGAGGAGAGGGAAAATCCCAAATTGGTCACATGCTCCATCAGTATGTGTTTATCACTCGTTTCACTAGCATCTTAGTGTTGCTTGTGATCACATTTTTCCAAACTTGTGTTCACACATATTACTTTTAAACATCAACAACCATAATCAATTATATAATAAACATGCCAAACGATATGCCAAATTCTTGGGCTATGTAAAGGCTATAATTAAATATTAGAAATTAATTAATTTGACTAGAGGTAGGCAGTTACGCTGCCATCTCATGTTAAATTTAATGACCAATTCCATATTAAATTTTAGAAATGTCTGAATTAAAAATTAACTACAGTAGACCCCTATAGCATGGTAGATATGTTCCGTGTTATGTGAATTCCGTGTTGTACGAGTCACTTAGATTTTACAAATACGTGAGCTGTTCACAGCTGGCATTTGTGTAGTTTAGGGTTATGGCTATTTGAAAGAATAGCCATACCCCCTAAAATACACAAAATTAAAATCTTCCATAAAATTAATCGATTCTAGGCTAATTTGTCTCAAACATTTCCAAAACACATATAATTCTTTTGGAATAATCCTTATAAACTATGCTACAAACAAAAAATTGTAGGAATACGTAATGAGTGCGCACCATTCGAAGACGCCATTGCTTAAGCTTGTTTTCATTGTGGAGTGGCTCATCAGATGGCAGTCATGTGTTTCCTGATAAGTTATTCTTTCTGTGAAAAATTTGATGAACTTTGGAGACATCATTAATAGAAATATAATTTTTATGAATGATAAATGTTTTTAGTAGGTCCGCTGCTCATTTAAACTCGATGGTTTATGCAAAATCCACTATTGGTCCAGATTCAACCAATCCTGTTGAGATACGAGTCAGGCGTGACAATCTGTCTCGTTCTTTTACCATGTTATACGAGCCTCTTTTAGCATGTTATATGAACACAATCACAATTTTTCCACCATGTTATATGAATCTGTCTTATATGAACCTGTGTTATAGGGGATCTACTGTATTTGTAATTATTAAATTTAACATGAGATGGCAGCATAACTGCCTACCTCTAGTCAAATTAATTAATTTCTATTATTTAATTAAAGNTTTTTTTTTTTTTTTTGTTTTCTGCAAATTGAATTCTTATTCCAGGTTTGTTCATTCTGCGCTAGAAGAAAAGATGATGATGATTCACACTCCTTAACAATGCACATTGTACAATTTTCTTTAAATTAATGTTATATATAAAATATTTGAGTATTTTTTTTTGGCCTGGAACACATTATCGTATTTTACATTAATTTCTATGGGAAAAGTTGTTTTGCTTAATGAGTGTTTTGCATTACGAGTATGATTCTGGAACAAATTATGTTTGTTAAGCGAGGTTCCACTGTATATACCAATTTGAAGTTTGAATTAAACATTTTTATATTTCAAAAATGTATTTTAGATTTTTCTTTTTGAATAATCGTTATACATAAAATATTTGGTTTTTTTTTTTTTTTGGCCTGGAACACATTATCGTATTTTACATTAATTTCTATGGGAAAAATTGTTTTGCTTAATGAGTACTTTGCATTACGAGTATGATTCTGGAACAAATTATGTTCGTTAAGCGAGGTTCCACTGTATATACTAATTTGAAGTTTGAATTAAACATTTTTGTATTTCAAAAATGTATTTTAGATTTTTCTTTTTGAATTTAATATTTCTGAGATTTTTAAAAATATTTAATAAAACTTTTTATTTGTAGTGTGATAAGCCAGGAGTACAAACACTATTAAATATTTATGGTAATATAACAATGAAAGTAGAAATGGAGGGTACTCAAGTTGATATGTCTTTGACTTTATCTAATCAGTCTTCAGAAAATTTGTGTGTGGATTCTTTAGTTCTTCATCCTTGTGCTCAGTTATCTACTTCTTTAATGATAGGAAGAGAAAAAGGTAATAACTTTGCTGAAGATAATTTATTACCTTATAAAAGAAAAGGGTGACTTTCTATAGAAAACTTAATAATTTTTTATAAAGAGTAACACTATAACTAATTATTAGTTAGTATAACATTTAATTAAATTTTTAAAATAAAATATTGGTATGGTTGCTATGAAATTTTACATTAAAATTAGTTTTTTTTATATCCATTTAGCCGTTTGGAAACATTCTTAATATTTAGAGCACTAGAAATTTCTATTTAATTTATATTGCTATTAATACAAATCACTCCACAAAACTTAACTGTACAGGTTATACTAAAAGAATCAGTTAGACTATAAGACTTTCTAGAAATGATTTTCTGTTTGTCTGATTTTAAACATACATAAATTCTTTGCAGGCTCATTTCCATTTTTAAATTTTAATTCTTTAAGGCATATATAAGTTATTAATTTTATATATGAGTGATTAATAAAAAGAAAATATATTTATTTTGATATAATACAAAACAGTTTTATTAAAGTCTTGATTGTGATCAGATGTTTTAAATCATTTTTCATGTTTTTTTGGTCCTTATGTCCTGTGAGCAAATAACCATAGTGGATTCAGCCACACCACAAGAGAATTGTCAAATTGTGAGGGCCTGACAAATCCAGGACAAATTACCTATGAAAAATTCCTGATGAACCGCCTTGGCTATCCATTTTATATGTTAATAACACTAATATACTATACAGTATGGCTTCAATTATGAAGATATTTCTGTTTTATGTATTTTTTAATGCTAGAAAATAGAAGTATTTTTAACTTTAGCACATCTTTATTTCTGAACTACTTTATATTTGGAAGCAGTTGAGAGCTTCAATGTAAAAGATGATCACATAATTTTTTTGTTGTTATTTCTAATCATATCATGGATGTTTGAAAAATTATGTTTTATTATTTGCCTTCAATTTAATTTTTGGTTATAACATTGATTTTGAGATTATTTATATATTATCCAATAAAATTCTGTATAATAATTGTCTTTATATTTAGAAAATTTTTCCTAAGATATTTAATTATGTGTGGCAAAATCAACTGAAATACTCTTTTTCATTCAGAAAGTATTTTAAAAATTATTATTTATCATTAGATACATTACATAAAATTTGGATAATTACAACAAGTTAATAAGCTAATAAATAATTTAAATAATGCTACCTTTTTAAAATGAATATCCATGATGACATGCAAGATCAGTAAAAAAGTCACTGATTGACTATATATATACAGAAATCAGACTTGCCAATTATTGGGGGTTGATTTCTTTGCCCCAAACACCTAAAGTAATTCCAAATATCTTGTTCGAAAAAAAATTGTTTTCTTAGGTAGTGTGCAAAATTTCAAGATTTTTTATAAAGCAGTTGCCGAAATATAAGCAATTGAAAAGTGCAAAAATTGCCAAATAAGCTGTATTTTCTTCTTCTCCTTCTTCTCCAGACACTCTGGAGAAAAACTACTAAGTTTAGAAAGCTCAATTTTTAAACTTAAGCCTTTCTTGTTATCAGTGAGGTGCTGGTGAAACTTCCAAGTCAATAGATCAAAGTTCACAGGGATTTCCCATAGAGCTAATTCAGTTTTGCAACTTAATTCTATGCTTGTAAAGATAAAATTGCATGGAAACAATTGAATTTTATTCAAAATGTTACTCAGAATCACAAAAGCTTGAATTTATGTCAATTGAAACTTTTTGTAACAATGTTTCTAAATGGTATATCAGATGCGTTGGTCGGTGGTGTGTTTGATTGGCAACGCATTGGTCGGTGACATGTTCAGTTTGCCAATTGTAATAAATATTGAAAGCATTTGGTTGGCAGTGCATTTGGTCAGTGGTGCATTGGTTGGTGACTTGTTCATTTGGCAGTCACCAAATGCTGATTGATCTTGACATAATAATACAATTATAAAACAAAAACAATTGATTTCCAAACAAAAACATCTGAGATGTAAAAATATTATGCCAAATAAAAATGTATGACAATTTAGATGGTCAAAATTTTTCTGAAGAGTTTTTCTGTGGTAAAGATAAGCTTAGCTCTTGGAGGAGAAATGTAGAAAACAATAATATGGTTAAAAATCTTGTGGCTACTGCTTCCAAGCACCAAGCTTATTTTTATCAAAGAAAAACTGCTAAGAAAAATTTTGACTGTCATCTAAATTGTCATAAATTTTTACTTTGCATAATTTTTTTTACATCTCAGATGTTTTTGTTTGGATTAGAATTTTATTGAATATACCTTTTTTGTTACTAAAATATTAAATTCATTTATCAATACATTGAAGGAACAATAATCATATATTAAAAATATAAAAGAATGTGTTATTGCTTTTAATTTAGATTTAATGAAATAAAGTATTTCATTTGAATTATTTCATTTCATTGAAATTTGTCTAAATATACTTTTGTTACAAAAAGTGAGAAGATTATTAGGAATGTCTGTAGAAAAATACAGAATAGGTTTTGTTGGTATGTTTCAAAATTTAAATTTGAAAATTATACAGGAAAAGTATTGAATCAATACCAAATCAAAAACACAGCTAAATTCATCAGAATTGTTAGAAAAAGTTAATATCAGAAAAGACAAGTTTTATAAATATATGTAATGCAAATTCATTGTAATTAGAATGATTCATTTCTTATTGGCAGCTTGTAACATTAGAATAATATATTTTATTATAAATTATAATATTTTATGCAGTATACTATTGATATCAATTTAAATTCGTTTTTGAATTCATTAAAATTGTGTTCAATAATATACTATTTTGATGTTTATTGTATTTCAAGAAAGTCTGTTATGATCAGTGATTTCTCTAAATTTTTCTTATCTTATTAGAATATAAATCTTCCATCAAATGCAATCATAAGTAATTAGTTTTAGTTTTATTTTTATTTTGCATTTACAAGAAAATAAAATAAGTATTTATTTTTTAAAGTATACAAGATATAAAAGTAATGCTAACTTGTTTCTAATTTATATTTTTCTTTAGCTGGAAATTCTCCATCAATAAAAAAGTTTCGCATTAGTCCACCATTACATAAATTTATATTATGTTATTATACCACTTCTAATAATAAAGAAGTTCCTATTTTAGGAGTCTTTAAATTGAAAGTAAGTATTATCTTAATTTCCCATATGTTAAATATATATATTTTAATTGATTGATTGATTAATAAATTTTTTAATTTAGGGAGGAAAAACTGTAGATATATTATTGCAATTAAAATTGAATGAATCATTAAAAACAATAAAGAATCAGTTTGATTTCTGTGAAGCAAGGATTCCTTTTTTAAACAGGTTATTAAGTTTCTTTATTACAGTAGAGCATCGATTATCTGATCCCTGATTAACCGTCACATTGGTTAACCGACCGTTCTAGTCGGCAAATTTCAAATGTCTGCTAGTGATGTGGCACTACAATATTTGGCTATGTCTTGGCTACTTTAATATTATTTTTGTTAAATTTTTGCGTGTTTTAGCTGGCAACACTGGCTCGACCATTGAAGGGAGGCCAATACTGTATTTAAATGAGACTTAATTTTTTAATTATGAGTGGTTGTTTGTTTTGTGAGCAATAAAATAATTTAAAAATAATTTTTAACGATACAATAGCGACGATTATTATTTTAAAAAAATTTTTTAGGCTTAACATAGATGAAAATTCAACGCAAAGTTGGTTAATAGCGATATACTAATATACTAATTACATGGGATATACTAATATACTATACTAATAATGTATTTTTTTCATTCTTTTCGGTTATCCGATTTTTTCAGTTATCCGACCAACCTGAGTCCCCAATTGAGTCGGATAATCGATGCTCTACTGTATTAAACTTTTCATATAAAAATTTAGTTTTGTAACACATTACTCAATACATTTTAAATATATAATTGTTGATAATTAGTAATTAATATGAAATTACAAAATATGATTAAAATATTGGTATATATTAGAACATTTTTATCAAGTAAGATTAAATAGAACAGTGCAAGATCTTTCATAAATATATACTTATATCATTATTTACTTTAATGATTAAAGTGTTTCTGTATTATTATTATTATTATTATTATTTTTTTTTTTTTTAAATATTTTCAGAGTCTTTGTTGTATCAGATTTAAACTATTTAAATCTGATAAAACAAAGTTTAAAAATATTAAATTTCTAACCTTCATTTCTTGTTTGATTTTCTAGAATAACCAAAAATCATATAGCCATACACAAGCAGTCATATTACTTAGTGTATTAAGTTTCCCATATTCCAATGCCTTGATCACTTTTGATTTTATTCAGCTTAATTTACATATTTAAAAAAATTTTTTAGAATTAAATTTCAATTTTGTAAATTTTCAAAAGAAAAGGTAAAAAAATCAAATTTCTTAGAATGATAAGAAATTTTGCTGCTTTTTCAATAGATAAATTTCTGTAATTTTCATTTTCCTTATTCAGAAATCCAGAATTCTAACGTTTCATTTAGAAGTTCTTGGAACTTCTAAATGAAACGTTAGGAAAATTATGATTAATTAAAACTTAAAACTAATTTATGATTAAATTTTCACTTCAACATATACGCAGACTCATTAAATATTATAACACATACATCTTATACTGCTGTGAACTTACTTTACTGCTTTAAATAAACATTTTCAATCTGATGATGGCCTGTTGATCAGGTTGAAAACATTTGATTAAAGCAGTAAAGTAGATTCACAGCAGTATAAGGTGTATGTGTTACAAGAATTAATTTTCTATTTAGTTTATTAATTTTATGTGAATGAAAATATTAATTCAATATTTTATCATCTGATTATGTAAGTAGTTTACATAATCAGATGAACTCTGTATAAACATAAGATATTGATTGATTTTTAACAATTATTCACTACTACAGTAGGATATAAAATATGTATGCGAATTCATAATATTTATTGTATTAATAAAAATATTAAATACATTTGAATAGTAAAAACAAATTGTTTATTCTTCTCTCAAACTTTTATCCCATATTTATAAAAAAAAACTGTATTATAGAAAATATATTAAGTTACATGCTTTTAAAACAGATGATTTTTCTATATTTATTAAATCATTTCTGTATTCATCTTTAAATCATTATGCAAGAAAAAAAAAATTTTAAATCAAATTTTAAATTATTACTAATAATCTAACATTTTAGATTATTAGTGACTTTCTCTACCAAAATACAAAAATTAAATTTAAAAAACACTTCTGCATTTTTTATTAACACATCTATTATGAAAAAGATATGTCATTCAATAAAAAAAAAATCAAACGTGCAAATTCATGAGATGTTATTAAAATTCTAGAGCAAATTTTGCACAGCTCTAGCCTAACTTAAAAATAATAGATATATTTGATGTCAAAATAATCAAATTGTATATGAAATCTAGAATAAACTCTAAATTTCATACACAGTTTGATTGTCTTGACATCAAACATAGCTATTATTTTTCAGTAGGGCTTTAAAAGTATGAATGAGTAAATTTGCTACATAGTTGGTTAATATATGATGACTAATTCTGCAATGAGAGCAATTTTAATTGGACTAAAGACAAAAATTTCTCTTTTTCAAAATGCTATGTAACAAAATTTTTTCTAGAAGCAAAGAAGTACACTTTTGTTATAAAATTAAATCTAAATTAATATATTTGGAAATGCTGTTTTTCTTATTTTTTCTTATTGCTTCTGGTTGGTTGCTGTCTATGAGAGCAATATAACAAAAAGTTAACATTCACTAGTCAATTGCTTATTTGCATCTTCATACTACAGTTTAAAACTCATATTAAAGAGACAATCTATGTAGATCATCTATCCATTTTAAAGACTATGTACTGTTTAAAAGTGAAATTGACAACTCTTGATTACACTTCCACTAAAGATTATTTGTTTCATGAATGGTATGTTTGTATCATCATTAATATATTTTTTAAATTAATGATTAGGTCAATAATTTCAGTCATCATCATCAATTTTTTGATGTAGTGTACAATGCTGTATTTGTAAATATTGTTTGTTAAATAATAATTCAATTTTTATATTATCATTGAGAATTTTTTTATCTTGAAAACTTTGCAAAACATTCGAACAAGCTGAATACTTTGGAATATAGGAAACCTTCATTAGTTTGAAATTCAAGGGATGAAATAATCATGACTTTGAATTATGAAGTTCAAATTTTCCAAGTATAATTTACAATATGCCAAATGCCACATAACTGATGTAATTTATTAAGAAAACAGAATATGGTTACATATACAGAATGCTATATAATATAAATGTGAAGGTAAATGGCACATGTTCAGTAAGTATTCAAAATAATTATTTAAAACAATGGAGTTAGATTATATATCCAATTCTTACTTAATTGTATTGTAGAGAAATACACGAAAAATCAATTTATCTTTCTGTTATGACTTACGGAGGGTAGATAACTTCAAAATTCTAAAACATTATATCAATAATGAAATAAAAATTAAAGTTAAAAATGGTAAAAGCAAATCCAATTGCAGAGAAAACACTTTTATTACATTGTTAAATTCCCTAAATGAATTTCCCCCCCCCCCAAAAAAATAGGCCTCCTCAGTAGGGTGATCAGCTTACAGTTCAAAACTCTGACAATATTCCATTATAAATTTCCATATATATATCTGACTAAGTATCTCATAGATCGCCAGATAGGTTTTATAAAAACTGAAGCAGAAGTCCTCAAAATGTAGTCCAAATTATTTTTAAAATGGCCTAAAAAGTAGTAATAGTCTAGAGTCCTACAAATATCTCAGTTTACTATTCATAGCCCAATCTTACAATCCTGAAAACTAGCCATACTTTATGAGATAAGAGAAAAAAGTGTAGTCCATGGTAAGGTGACACCTGAAAATGTGTTACTGTAGAAGCAAAGCCACATTGACCACATTGGAATTGCTCTTGATCTATTGTTCTCATATAGCATGGAGGCACTTTGATCTAAATCAGTGTTTCCCAATGTGGGACAATTGGATTGTTAAGGGGAGCAATTCAAAAATGGACTCGTCCAGAGTTTAAGTTAACCGTATAGCCACTGTATATGTTAGGGGGCATAATAATTTTAGAAAGGCTTAGGTGGGGCATAGCACAAGAAGGTTAGGAAACACTGATCTAAATGAACGTACACATATGACAATTTGGACAGAATTTTCACTTCAAATTTTGAAATAGCCATATTTTTAACTAACTGAATTCCTTAACATGTAAATCACTATATCCCTAGCTGGGACAAAAGTACAGTGATGTACTAATGACATTTCAAACTATCCAACTTCTAATTAACAAGGATTTCCTGTATTAAGAAAAATTTAAGAATGATGGATATTTGTGATTTTAGTTAACAAAATTTTTAAAAACATTTTTCTTCTATTTTAATTCTTTTTTAATTCTTTGTTTAAATTACTCATATGAAAAATATACATACATTTTAATGATTCTCTTTTTCTGAAAGTGAAACTATAAGAATTTATATAAATTAGGTTTTAGTTCTTATTGATATTTGTGTAATTTTATCATCTATACTCTGAATAAAACAGTTTTTAGTTCTTAATTGTAATTTTTATTTTAAATAATATATTTTTTCATTAAAAATTGTTTTTTTTAGAGAGTCCATTAAAAATGCAGATTTTAATGCAAATTGTGGACAAGTTCAAATTTCAGAAGATAGACACACCATTATTTGGAGTATTGGTAAGAGTGTATTATTATTTACATAAAATACAAATTAAATGCTTATTTATTTTAGCTTCTGTTCTTAAATTACAATAATTACTGAACTTCAGATGTTATTGGATACTTCTGTATGCTATGAACTTCTGTAAATATATTTTTAAGATTCATAAAGATGAATGAATTCATTCATCCAGTTTTTTTTTTATTTGAATATAATTGAAGAATAGAATTTATGTTAAATCTATAACTTGTAAGATAGAAAATTTTACTGAAATGTCATTATAATTATATTAAAGACTGAGCACTATAAAATCTGATATATAATTATCTTTAAATAGATTCTGTAGTTTTTTAAATGATAATCATAAATTATGCTTTTATGTAGATCAACTTGATTAGGAAAAGATTGGATTGGTAGTAGTTACAGCATGGTAATTACATGTCTAAATTTTTTAAATCTGAATATTTCAAAAGTATTTAAAATTAAAAAATGTCTTACTCTTGATTACCAATTTGTTAATTGTTAATTATTGCAATTTTAATATACAATAAGATGGATTCTTATAGAGTTTCTTTTTTGCATTTTGATGCTTAAAGATATTTTGCATAATTATATTAATAATATCTTCAAAAGTACAGTATATTATAAAGCTAACAATCTGATTTTAAGAATGGACTTTTTTAATAAATCAACATTTTATAAATTAATATTGTCTCTTTTATTACTTTTTTAAGTAATAAAAGAGACAATATTAATTTATAAAATTTTAAACTTTTTAGTTTAAAATTTAACAGCTTTGTTATAAGCATAAAAATATTGTATGAGACAAGACATCAAAAAATTTATTTATTTTAAAACTTTTTTTCTGTTTTGAGAATGAAAATATGAATAAAACATGTATTTTATTTTAAAAATTTTAATTATTTAAAATCAATAAATTATAGAAATATTTTTCAATAATTGTATCTAAATTTGCTTGCAGAAGTAATAATAATATATCAAACAAACAACTGGATTCCTTTATCAAGCCGTTAGTAATTATTTAGCCTTAACAGGCTAAACAATTAATAATACTTACTAACTAATTTGGCAAGAGGTGGGCAGTTTGGCTGCCATCTCTTGTTAAACTTAATAATTATAAATAAATGAATTTAATTAAACTTTATTTAACTGTAGAAATATTCAGGAAAAAAGATTGGTACAGAACAAGACTTGAACATACAACTCCTGTTTACCTGCACACATATTGCCAGTTATATGGATGCAAGTTAGGATAGCATAACTTGTAATCTTCACTTTTAGACTAATTAATTAATTAATATAGACATGTAGCTAACCATGTTGGTTGGCTACATGTCTATATTAATTAATTAATTAGTCTGAAAGTGAAGATTGAATGGAGATCCAGACAGTATAACTGGTAGTGCTTCTGTATGATAGGCATGAGTTGCAGGTTGAAATCCTGCTCCTGGCCAATATTTTTTCCAGAATATTCTAAAATTAAATTAATTAACAATAGATTAGGTTGTCAATCCCTTGCCAAATTACTTAGAAATTGTTTAGCTTTAATAGCCTGATAAAGAAATCCTGCTGTTCATTTGATATTTGAAGTAATTATTGAGTTGATTGTATTTTTTAAATATTTATTTTACTGTTAAAAAATTTATTTGTTTTTATCGTCACGACTGGGTGCATAAATAGACACAGGGCATTTCTACATCATCTTTATTCGGAATGCCCTATAAGCTGATACGTGTTTTGGGCATAAGCCTCTCATCTGTCGACATGACTTCCGGGATTTCTTGCAGGTGGTGTTGACACGTATACATTCTGTTTAAAATTACTTATTTACAGTTAAAATTGTTTTACTGTTAAAATACCATTATAGTTTAAAATATATTTACAATTAAAAGTACTATTACGGTTAAGGACTCTTGACTTGACGACCGTGTTAAAAAGGACGTCTAGTCATGTATCGGCCTATAGTATACTCCGAATAAAGATGATGTAGAAATGTTATGACCTAGTTATGACGATAAAAACAGATAAAAGAAGACACGGTGTCAGAATACACAAATTTATATTATTAAGAATTTTTTAGAAATTTCTGTGTATTTGCATTTAACAATGATACAGATGGGCAGATGTAGGTTTTTCAGGGCTTATTGAAGTACAATAGTCCCATTTTTTGTTAGATTAAGAATTTTTAAATTTGGGTTTAAAATTTATTTAACATAACATCAAAATCGGTGTTGAATAACAAACTTTATATTGATAAATGCTCATTATTAACGAAAAAGTATTAAAAATTTATGATGATAATTCAATTTTTGTGGGCCCTTGACACTTGGGGGGGCCAGGACTTAAGCCCTATTTAGATCTGCCCCTGAATACAGAACAGTTTGTCCTAAACAAATATTTCATCCATGATATTGTAAGAAGATCCCTTATTATTAATTTCAGATAATGTTAAAATATTTCTTATTTTTCTTGTTGTATGACACATCATCCTACCATTTGTAAAATACAGAGTATTTATTGATATAATAAATGAAATATGTATCTACCTTCTGAAGATCTCAAAATAAACTTTTTCACTTTAACTAAGATTCCATTTTAGTTATTACATAGATCTAATTTGTAATTAGATTGAAAGTACTAGTCAAGTAAAATAGTTTTCTGCTGGTTTAAAAAAATTGTTATTTTTACTATAATATTATATCTTTCAACATTGAATGATATTAAAATGAATGAAAATAATAATAGAAAAGTTATAATTCAACTGATTTATTTGCTTGATTAATGAATAGTTATACAGTAACAAATTTTCTTATCAGATAAAACCAAATTTTAACCTTTAGTCTGCCTTTTTTGATTTTTCATATCAGGTGACTACAATTTATTGATTAGCTTAATATATTTAATAAAACACAAACCATAACAAATATGGGGAAAAATTTTTCAGCAAAAGTGATATCTCAAAAAGCATTTTATCAAAGACATAGGCACCTAAAAAATTTAGTAAACTTTGAAGAAGTTGATTTCTTGTCATGCTACATGAAGATAAACTATAGATTGGATGTTATACAAGTGTTTCTCATTACTTGTACAATGTCCAATCTTGGGTTGTCTTCAAAATTGTAGCCACTGCCTCCATGATAATAGCTACAGTTTTCAGCTTTCTTTTCTATAGACTCCTAGCAGTATCCTGACAAAAAATCCAATCATTTGTAGAATAGTGAGTTCTTGGAATATGTCCATTATGGTTTCTCCATTGACCAGGAAATTTGTCTAAGAAACTTTGAGTTGCTGTATTTAATGCAAAAAGTATTTCACAATACACATTCTGGCTAATTTCTATTAAGCATCTTAATCTTAGTAAAAAAAACTGTAGATACCCTATACTTTTAATGATTTTACTCTTCTCATTTTTCACTTAGTTGACTAACGGTATCTTACTTTCTGGTAAATCACCACCCGATATTGTTTGTTTCTTATATGATTTGAACTTAAGGACATGGAATTTTTTATCCAATATTGTTTTCATGAGTATCTGCAAAGTAGCATTTTTTCAATATAAAATTACTTAAACAGTAAATATTACTGTGCAGAGTTTCATGTTTAGTCAAACCAGAAATTGAATCAAGAATTCTTGACATCTTAATAAGTTATTAAAGTTTAGTTTTAGAGGCGAAAACAAGTAGGCTTCGTTTTCTTTTTTAATGGTTCTTGAACACTGACATTTATTTATACACAATTTGAAACACTATTTAATACAAGATATTATTAACTGCAGCTTCAATTGCTTATGTCTCTGTATTCTGTATAGTCATACCGAATGTATTATTCAAGCTATTCCATATTCTGGAGTCACAGTTGTGGCTGCACAAGGTACCTTATAATCCTCATGTTAAGTCATGTTCTTAACGTATCACCAAGAAATAAAAATCTATGAAACTTTCTTTATGAAATAAATTACAGATTCTAATTTTACTATGTATAATTTGTTTTAAAGTTTTCAGGTTATTGTTGATCGCAGACACATCACAATTTTAATAATAATAATTTTTATTCCTTTCAGCTTATGAATTACAAAGTTGTGAATATAAAATATGGAATTATTGTGGTGAGATTCCTTTTTATTCAACATTGCAGAGTTGATTTTTTTACAATAAATTATTATTTTAAAAATGTAAGAGAATGACAAAACTTTTATATTCTATTATGAATATATAAATTAAATTTACATGAAACTAAAATAATTGTAATAAAAATTGTCTTCATATAAAATGTTTTCACCAACTGTCAATAATAATTTTATATTAGGATAAATTAATAAAAATAAGTTTATTATATTGAGCTAACAAAATTATATACATTATTTAACTACGTTTTAAATCTATTATAATTTTTATATTTTATCTCGTTTTTATAAGATCTGAGAAAACAACCATTTTGAATTTTACAAAGTTAATTTCTAAGTTGTAGGAAAGAATATCTTTATTAGAAATACATGAATTATCAGAAGAAAATGATCTTTTATTATTATTATTAACATGAAGTTATTACTGAGTTATTTTAAAAGATGATTTTTTTTTTGACTTAGGATACAATATTTTAATTAATTTCACCTTTAGCTGTACACTGATTTAGTTATGATACAGATACGACAGTTTTAAAGTAATCTAATTTCAGGATAGATCTATTTGATACGTTTAAGACATCAATTAAAAGTTATAAAGATATTTAATAGCGTTTCTAAAGTTGTAGCGCGTCAATGAAACGTTTGTTTCGTTCAATAAACCGTTCTCTATTTATGGAAGTTTAGAAATACCCGTAACGGGAGTACGTTCAGAGGTCATCAGGGTCCATCTCTGACCTCTCGACTCGGATATTTAAAAATAATCCGAAGTAAACGACGTTTTACGGGACCACTCCAGTACCATTAAGGCTTCAAAGTGCCGCAATCCACATCTGCAAAGTGGGGGTCATCACACGCTTTCCTATGCCAACTTACAGTTTGTCATCTTCAAAAACGGAATCACCTTCGAGTCCCGACTGGGAAACTACCATGGAAATCATGGTACGTGTACCACAATTGTCCATTTGTTGAGCCGGACAGTTTGTACCACTGACGCTGAGAGTTCGAGGACGTCTACACAGAAGTACAGTCTTGTAAGCTTGACGGTACTGTTTGTTGGTCACACCATAGATTATAGGATTAATGCACGCACTCAGGTATATCAGGATATATCCTATGATGTGTAATTCGGGATAACGAACGTTCTTGTCGGCCACCTGTAAAAATATGTTGGATTTTTCAGCCATTAACATAGAAAAATTCATGCTAGTTACCACGCTTCTTAGAAGCAATGCATTCTCAATCGAATTAATTACATTATTGTGAGGAAAATTAATAAAAAGACGTAATTAAAAATCTCTTAACGCTAATTTCTAGAAACAATTAATCAAATTTGGCATCCGTACGAAGGTCACCGACAATGCGGTGACCTTTTCTTCGTTGGGATTATTATTATTAATTAATCTCTCGGGATGTAAACCTATTTAATGTACACGGTTCACATTAATGAAAAGATTGGCAATTAGTCACGAGTTCATTTAATAATTACATCAATTGAGCAACTTCTAATGGCTCTGTCGGATCGCGAAAATTAATGATGCTGTCTGTAGATAACATAGATGATAAATTTTCGAGGAACTACTCCATAACACGTGTTAAATCAGTTAAAAACAATTTTGGAAAATATGTACAGCTACATCAATTACTGGACGCCTAGATTAAAATAGATAAACAATAATTTAGCATTAAACTCATGGGCTGTTGCATAAAAATTAAAGTTAAACAACTTTAGGCAATCGAAAAATACTCGCTACAAGCGCTTTATGCAACAAAGATCTTGTTATATTTACTAGTACTGTACTGTATTAGGCCTACAGTACTAGTAACTAACACAACACCAGAACCTTGTAACAACAATACGTAATACTAAAATATAATACAGCTTGTGTATCACTAAGTTAATAAAATAAGTTTTAATTACTGTGTAGCCTAGTTTAGTATTAATAATTAGTAAAACTTGCTTTATTAACCTGTAACTAACAAGTATGTCGAGTTCTGTACCTCTCGCATTCATTAATTGGGTGTATTATGCAAGTTAGAGGACCGTACACGCCTTGTACTATCTGAATTATGATAGACCATTATAAAAATACTTCTGGCCTATATTTTACCATCTTCCCTGAATTTTGTATAAGAATAAAACTTATTCATCTAAATTATTAATTGTACGAAGCGATACAATGAAGTACAGTTTAATATTAATTAAGCGAATGTTTTTATTACAATTTCGTGAATGCCACCGTTTATATTCAGCTTAGAAGACACTGTATCTGACGTTCGAAGTACTTAATTATACTTTATTATCCTGTCAAAATTGTTTGTTCGAAAGCTAAATAGACTTATTATTAACTGTAATGAATGACAAATTCATCTTTAATAAAATTTAAAAAAAATCAACTAAATAATAATCACTAGGATCATCATCGGTATTTATTTTCACCAGAAATGCGGTGCCACTCCTTTATAAAACTTCTATAAGCGGATAGACGTATACACAGGACTTATTGTTCATCTAACAGTATAAACAGTAATAAATATCAATTAAATTGCCGGTAAAAAAAAAAATATATATATATATATATATATACTGATGTCGATAATGTAACCAAATTCGCCATTTTTTTTCTTCACTTATTGCACACTAAAAGAAAAGGGGGAAAAAAACGTTGTAAAAACTGGCGTTACTTAGCCCAGAGGTGCACTTTTTTTTTAATGTCATTATGACGTTTCGGAAAACGGATCCCGTATCTAGCCTCACTTCCCGTTTTGTCATAACCGTTGGTGGGAGGAGGGATGGAAAAATGAAAAGTTTCGACCGTGGGAAACCTGCGAATCACTAATAAATGAATTCTAAAAGTGTTAGTTATGGTCGTGATTTTTCACGTTTTATACGCGTAGGGAAATTATTATTATTTTTTAAATTTAGCCTAAAAAAATATATACTGTACTTTCCCTAAGCGAACAGGTCTACTAAATTAAAAAATATATATTAATTTTTGGCAGTTTTCCTTCTCCGTACTACACAGGTTTCCCGCTTTTAATAATGTTTTCCTTAATAAACCGTTCCGTTCCCGGATTTATTATCCGTTTAGACATGTTTCCGTTTTGTAAAGATTTTTGAATAGTTCTTTTCGAAAAATTTGTCATTTTTATACAAATCATTAAGCATTTCGATAGAAAATCTGTTACAATCCATACTGAAAATTTATCCCTGTAAATCCACATAAAATCCACTCCCACGCAGAAAAAAAAGATAGAATTTATGCCAATAGAAATAATTGAAAAGAAGCCATTTTAAGACAATTGCACCCAATACTCGTCATTTGCAATTCAAGTATATTCCGATAATTTTTTTATCTTTGGATGTATTGACGTTGGATAGAGTTTATAGAGACAAACAGGAAACGATAAATATCGAATAAAAGTGTATCGAGAGTCACGGCAGTGACTCCGTGCCAAGTGATAAAAAATCACTGACTATACTATATACAGGAATCAGAACTGCCGATTTTCGGGGGTCAATTTCTCCGCCCCCAAACACCTATAGTAAGTCTGAGTATCTCGTTCGAAAGATAATTGTTTTCTCAGTTAATGTACAAAATTTCAGGTTTTTCTGTAAAGCGATTGCCGAAATATAAGCAATTAAAACGTGCAAAAATTGCCCCCAAAAAACTATTTTTTCTTCTTCTTCCGGCACTGCAGATGCTCGTAGAGAAAAAACTACTGGGTCTAGAAAGCTCAAATTTTAAACTTAAGTCTTTCTCGTTATCAGTGAGGTGTCGGCGAAACTTCCGGGTCGATAGGTCAAAAGTCTACGGGGGTTCCCCGTAGAGCTATTTCACTTTTATGGCTTAATTTTATGCTTGCAAGGGTACAATTGCATGGAAACGAATGATATTCATTCGAAATGTTATCCAGAATAACAAAAACTTGAATTTATGCAAATTAAAACTTTTTTATAACGATTTTACTAAACGCCATATTAAAAGCGTACAGCGGGCGAACTGTAGGTCTTGATGTAATAACACAATCATTAACCAAATAACAATTGAAATCCAAATACTGTATAAACATCTGAGATGTAAACAAATTGTCAATTTTTTTGCATGGAGCAATTTTCTTTACATCTCAGATGTTTTCGTTTGTATTAACTTCACCAGAAACAGATTAGGTTCGATCAAGCAAACAGTAGACAGTATCCAGATTATGAGAACAGGATCTTTCATACCCGGAATAGACTTCTGAAAAATACTCGAGATTCCCGACTTAAATTGGATCCCGGTTTTCTGAAGTAACAGAATGACGCCTTTATCATACTATAAATTAACGGCCAGGTGGCCAAGGAGATAAAGGGCGTGTTAAACGGTAGAATGGGTTTATAAAAACACTTTCCTCCAGCGGGCACTAAGAGGATCTTTTAACAAGTTCATCGTGCGTTCCGTGGGCATTGAGGGATGGAAGGTTAAACATATCCAGAAAGGATTGCTCCCAAAAATTTCGGGTTTTTGATCTAGATTCGTTCTCGGATCCCCAGAGCAGTAGGCCGATACTTTAGTCAGTTAAAGCATCGGCTTGTTGCGAATTGATGCCTTCCCCATTCTACCAATGGTCGGAAAAATGGGGAAAGCATTAATTCGCCACTCCAGGGAGCCAATTTCGAATCCGAGTTTCAAAACTTTTTCATGTGCTTATTTGACCCGAACATATATACGACCCCTTCCTCTACTGCCTTCATGAGAATCTGGCATAACAATGATATGCAATGATGCCTGCAGGGACGAAAGTTAAAGAGGGATATTATGATGCAGATTAAGACATAACAAATTTTCTACATTTCATTTCTGGGCTTTTTAGATGATTTAAGGTATGGGAATTTAGAACGAATATCGCGTTTCTCTAAATTCAAACTTAATAAAGTGACAATTTTTAAGAAATTTGTAAATTATTATTAAAAATAGCCGAATTAAGTAACTTAAATTTAACATTTTCGATGAAAAATTTCTCATTAATCTACAAAAGTTAAGCCAAACATGTTCAAACAAGTCTATCTTCATAAAAATTTCATCGTCATTTCTATCATTTTTCATATTTTTTCATTGCAATAAAATCATTTTCAGCTTTATAACTTATTTCGATGTTACGTTTCCTCATTAGGAAATACCTTTTTAGAGCCAGGAAAAGATGATCCTGGGGCCTGCCACCCAAAAATTTTTTAAATATTAAATAATATACTGTACTTGGACTCCCATCTGTGGATTGGATGTGCTACGATATTCTTATAGTTCTGACTCCGCACACTGTAAGAATTATTTACTCAGACTACTTTTAGTATACTTACTGTGTTTAGTACACTCATGATGAAACGTGGATTCGAATGGATTTCATACCCAATTCTTTAGTAGTAAGTCGATGCCAATTTTCGGGCCTGTTCGATATAAATTTCAATCTATGCGTTTAATCAGCACGCTCGCAGTCTATGGAGGAAAAGCGCCAGAGCATGCAAATTATCAAAATGCGGGACTTTAAAATGCAATTAACTTTCGCGTTTTCAAATTATTACTCTTGAAACACCTATCAAAAAATTGAATGATATTTGCACTTTTCTTTCAATTTTCCGATTCATTACCTACTAGCAAATGCAAGTTGCCCATCTCGCGACACTATGCAAATGACGGCCTTCCTGTTTAAATGGATAACACATCATTCTTACTGATACTCCGAGTGGACTCCGTCTCCGCTCATAGCGGCGGAGATCAGACCCTAAACACTGGGAGTTCGGTTGTAGTTCACGCCTCGCTCGGACAGGCTGGCAACACGGAGTTTTTCCGGGTTTTTTCCTTGCCCATGACGCCTGAATAGGGGTCAGCTTCCCATAAGTCCTCACAAAAAGGCATTCTATCCCCCTCGCGTACGTTTCGGCCGTCTTCTATAAGGCCAGCTCTTCAGTCGCCTAGAGATCATCCGCCAGTTTCTCGGAGTATAAGCGAATAGCAATAAACTCCATATGAACCCAGTCTCAAAGACCAAAGACTTGATGATACTCGAGTGTTGCCTTCGCTAAGCGTGAAGTGGTTTATACCTAGAGTGCCTTACTTTATAATGAACATATTGTTTATTGCACAGACATTAGAAGATCCATGAACCCGTGATAGACATGGAAAAAGATTCTCCTAATGTCTTCTTGTCATTCCTTCAATACGGTTAGTGACAATTGATGCAAGACAATTCTCCGAAAGTGCGCGCGCGTTGCCTCGACCCTAAAAAAGCAATGCAAGAAAAAAGCTTTTGTACGTGATATGGTGCGAGTGTAATATAAAAATTTCATCCGTAATGCGGCATGTGGTTGCTATGGTAATTCCACAAAAAGAATCTTAAATATTCCTCGGTTTTGATATTTTTGTTTCGATTTTTTTTGAAAAGATTACCCAATGCGAAATGGAAGAATTATTTGCGCCGTGTTAAAATTTAATCTCTGAAAATAATTTAAAAATTCAAATGTAGTTCATAAACATATATTAGTTTTGCTACAGTAAACATTTAATAATGTGAAACGTCGAAAATCCACCGGATCCCATCCAGGGCCCTTAGTCTCGAGTTTTTCGTGTTGTACTCGAACTGACGTCATCGAACTCACTCGTGTTACTATGACTCACATAATCGGTAGTCTCGAGTTAGACCCTTCGAGTGAACTCGAAAGGCGAGCGGAAGTAGGTCATATTCACTTGTTTACGTTTGTCGATAAGCATGATGGGATTATTTACAATGCATCTGGGTTTGCGACTATAATGATTCGACCAATCAACTTAACTGTAACAAGTTGTAAACAAATCAACGCGAATTAGTTTACACGTGCTACAGTTAAAAGTTGTCTTGTGGCAATATAGTACGCAGAAACAAAATGAAAACCTCGAATGTTTTATTTTAAAAAATAAGCGAAGAACAAAAAGAAATATTAGTAACATATATAGAAAATAATAAGAAAATGAACAGCGGAAAATTCGACAACGAATTTACAAGAAAAAGACAATTCGCTTTGTGGAGAGAATTACTTGAAAAATTAATTGCGTGTGTTGAACCTAAAAAATCCGTTATGTAATGGAAAATGTATTTAAACTTAATCCTTTCTTCATATAGTTTTCTTCCTTGATCTATTTCTTAAATTGTTTTGTCTATTAAGATTATTTATTAATCAGAACTTAACACTTCTGATTAATAAATAATCTTAATGTAGTGTCTATGCTTTTAATAATCTATACATATAATTTACTATCATTTTAATACTCTTTTTCGATGAATTAGATACTTCTTTTTATTTTTAGAAAAATTTGCTGTATACATTTATCAATTATGAATTAAAGTTTTTTTTATTAGTATTGACTTGACACGAAAAGAAATGTCATCTACTCGTGGTCGAAAAATTCGTTGCCTTCTCAAACAACGTCTTTCGGCTCTTTCTAACTCTTCGATAGCGATAAGAATTGCGTATCCGTCAGCCATTTTTACTTTCGTGTAGCGATCTCACATGCTCGACTCAACGTGAGTAGCAACTCGCATGGTGAGATGGGAAAGCACGTGAGTTAGAACTCGAGACTACCAATTTGACGTCAGTGTGTGAGATGATACCACGTGACACCTTCAACACGTTGGGAGTTGTAACACGAAAAACTCGAGACTAAGGCCCCAGATTTTCAAATATACACAGATGTAAATTAGCATTTTAAGCACTATAAACTCCAAATATACTGTAAATCAAGTTTAAATGTTCGAAGTTCAAACCAGTATTTCACGAGGAATGTAGGAATACTTATAAAGATTCAAAATAGAATTTACGGAATCCTTAAATTTCACCAAAAATACGCTAATTATAATTTTAAAAAATTAAGAATTCTGAATGAATAATAAAACATCAACAACTAAATTACCATTGAAAAGGACTAATATCCATTTTATTAAGCCCAAACAAATTGAATTTGTGAGTGATCCAAGTTCCTAAACCCCAAAAGATACCGTTAAAATGATTGTAATAAGAATCTATACCACAAGTGATGTTCAAGATTTAAGATAATTACATCTAAAGATAATCTCGAACATCAAATTTAGCATAAAGTTAATATTGATGTACAGATCCAAGTAAGAATATCATTCATCTAGTGTTAAAGATTTGATGGAATACGGCAACGTAACACGTGGGCGATGCCTCTAGGAAGGAATTTTTATGAGAAACTGGTCCTATTTAGGTGTTAGAACGTGTTTTGTTTTGTAGTAATTTTGTAGTAGTTTGCTTTACGTCAAAAATATGAACTTCCTGTTTTGATACGAAGCTGTTTACAAAATATAAATCATAAATAATATAATAGCAAAGAAGAAAACATAAAATCTTAAATTCCTGGTAATTTCTCTTGTGAATCTCTCAAATGTGAATGAGGAAACGAAAAAATAACCTTACAGAAAATCAAATTCTAAGTTCATAGGACCTCTAAATGGCGGCCATTTTTTTATGTTCTCGTCAGTGGTCGTTTTTCACAGGTTTGACTGTATCTAGAAACGTTTCGTGTGAAGTTTATATCCTAAATAATCAATCAATAGCTTCCAACTTAAAATTATAACGATATAATTCTAAAAGAGCATCAGATATATCAAATTTACGAGGTAATAGCTTCGAAAAACTATCTTTAAAACGAAAAATGAGACCGTCTGCTTGTCTGTCACGCAATACTTCCTTAAAACTAAAAATAAAGGCTCGATTATCGTTATAAAATTACAGTAAATCGATCCCATTTCTTTGTTTTTCATATTAAAAATGTTTTTATTCGTTTAACTCGGTTCCCTCAAGATTACATTTTGAGTGTGCCACTAAAGAGTTAGTATGCAAATAGTCATTACGACGNATTTAACAGCACTTAAGGCCAAGAAAATAGGGAAATAGTCATTTTTAATTACCGTTTTTTTCTGGAATTTCCCTAAAATTTACCCCTTTAAAATATAACATTTTCTATACCTTATAAAATATATTTAAAAAATAATTATGGGGTTAATATATTTTAAAACTTAAAAAGTCGTCATTAAATATGACGATGATGCTCAATAGAGAGCAATATAATAGAGTTAAATGATTATTATAATAATATGTAATTGAAATTCTTTATTATTATTCATTTAAAAGAGAAAATATAACATTTTTAACTTAGAAATTCCTAACTTAAACATCTTTTATGGTAGTTAATTATATTAATTCAGCGAAAAATTGCATAGAAAGACACACTAAACTACATTTAAGAACTTAATTCTAGTGCATACATAAAGAAATTATATTAAATTTCAAGTTTTTTTTTCTTGTAGAAGCCAGTGTAGGAGCAATTAACTGCTAGTTAGGAGATAAAAAAAGAAAAAAAATCATCAGAGTAAATAGTTGTGAGGAAGTTTAGCTGAACTTCCTAACCACAATAATAAAGAAAATTATCATTTATTAGGGTAATAAACTTCCATTTTTTAAATGCTTTTAAAGGCCGAAACTTTCAGGCGATTACCCAATAGGCGCGCGCCTGGGGCCTCGTCGTTTCGAGGGGCCTCAAAGATTATATAGAAAAAAATATGCCTGTAAAATTTAGTCAACATTTAAAAAACTTGCTATTATTTAAGGACTTTTATGATCTTTTTAATAATAAAAAAAACACTGAGACGTAAAGGGCATATAAAACTACTAAAAGGGCCTAAAATGCAGTTGCATTTTAGGCCCTTTTAGGAGTGGCCTCACATCTACCACCACCCCATCCCCATAAACGTAACGAAATGTAGAATTTAGTTACGATTTGTGTGTGTAAATGTGCTGTAGTGATGTATACAGTGGGGGTGAGGCCACCCCTACTTCACGCTCGAAAAGCGTTTTTTTAGTTTTAAAAATGATTTAAATTTAATCGAGAATTACTTTAACTACAATTAAGATGGAATAAATAACGAAAATACTCACTTTAACAATAGTTATGGGCAGATAACAGAGCAGAAACGAACAGAATATGAAAAGGACCATTTTAGTAATTCTCCATTCGTCTTTCTTCTGCTTCATCTCGCGATTTCTCTGCTGTTCTTTGGTCTCGCTGTGTATTCTCATTCTCTGTTGGCTACTTCGAACTACCCAAAATATGCGAGCGTAACAGACAACGATGGCAATACAAGGTATGACGAATCCCAAAACGAAGAGAAAAGTCTTGGGAGATTTGCCATCTTTCTCTAAAATCGAACAATTAAGAATGGTGGGATCGTAACCGAATCGTCCCCATTTACCTAACAGAGTAGGAAAGAGCATAACAATAGAAAAAGTCCAAACGAATACGATCATCAGGGCTATGTAACGCTTTCTGTATATCTTATCGTACAGATGCTGATGGGATATCAATATGTATCTGTTAACGGTGATGGCAGTTATGGATAAGAGAGACAAACCCACGTTGGCGTATCTCAGAAATGGGAAAAGTACGCACAGAGTATCGCCGTGTATCCATTTTTGGTGTATAAATCTGGAAGCGCTGAAAGGCAGATTAATGGAACAAAATAAGAAATCGGCCAGGCACAAACTGATGATGAAAGTGGCGGTTGCGCTTCTAACACGTGGGCATCTCAACAATGCGATAATTGTCAATAAATTTCCAGTAATTCCAACGATGATAATGACGATAACGCAGAAGGCTGCAAAGTGCATCAGCCCTTGTTTCTCCCTGATAAGTGGTACATTTGTAGTGTTAACCGTATCGTCCTCCTCTGACCAAATATCACCACTCATTTTTTGACTCGACGCTCTCACTTAACGGAAGTTCGCTGATAAATATATATATATATATATACACACACACACAGGCGTAAGGAAGAAAAATAAGCCGGTGAAAAACAAGCAGTACAAAATATGTCTTTGATGTTTTATGAGCTTTAAACGGCGTCGTCCCGTCTAATTTATTAATTAAACGATACACCAGTAATGCCACGCAGGCTGGGAACTTCCTCACTTGTCTGTGTGTGTGTGTGTGTGTGTGGACAGGATACAATACGTATTGTAACAGACACTATTGTTTTAAACCAACGGTTTCGAATTTCGATATGCCTGTTAATCATTTTCTTGAATTTTTTCCTGTTTTAAAATGATAAATAAATTTTAATAAACTTTTACGTACTGAAATTCTTTTATTTGCCATTATGATAGAGTTGCAAAACGTTGCAACATTTTTATATTTATCAATACAAGCGTCAAAAAATTAAGTCCTGTTTTTTTTTGTTTTTTGAATAAAATAAATTTAAAAATTCACCTTTTTTTACATTTAAATATTAATAATAATAATAATAGTAATAATGCTGAATACTTTAATTACATTTTTCTGTCCATTTTTGTAGATTTTTTACAAAGTTATAACAGGTTTTTCGTATTCATTTCTTCCCTTCTTATCTTAATTTCGCTACTAAAAAGTCTCTTATATCTAATACAATAATAATATANCAACCTTACCAGCATTTTTTTCTTAACTATGATTTAATTATATATAAATATATACATACATATTAATACAGATTAATTATATATATATATATATATATATTTATGTATATATTTACAATTTCTCAAAACTTTAAAATAAAAAAAACATTTTTTAATGTAATTATTTAACACTGGACATTTTATCATTAATAAAAAAATGCTTATAGAAAATAAATATTTTATACTAGTAATTAAAATGAATGATATAAGTCAAAATATAATGATTAATTTAGCAGTAAATCATGCTTTTAGCTAATGAATCAAGCATAAATTTTAACCAACTATTTGCAAAATAATGTAGATATTTAAAAGAAACTATTCTAAAAAAAAAGTGTAAAATATTCTGCATAGACATATACTAGTTACTTTTTAATCTTAAAGAAATTACCTACATGTGAAATTTTGCTCTCAGCATTCATAACTTACTTCAATTGCAATCTTTAAAGACTCAATCCAAAGGAAATATGAAGGAGAAATGCCTATCAATGTACCTAAATTGTATAAAGATGAAGGGAACAACCCTTTATAATTAGAGCTACAAAAATTTGAGTATTTGATATAATTTCATATTTCAAAATAAATTGATCCAAATTCCATATATATATAAATATACATATATATATATATAACTTAACTGGTATGCGATCTAAGTCATTAAATATCATAAATACTTTTATACAAAATTTTTTACAAACAAACAAATATAAAATACATATAAACTGATTTCTGAAGGCGGAAGATTCCGAAACCTTCGTTTAAAAAAGATGCCCGTGGAAAAGAATTCTGTTCTTGAGTNATGAAAAAAAAAAAAAAAAAAAGAAAATTTGATGATTCAAGTATGTTACATGAAACATTCATGTAAAAAATACAAAAATATAATTGTCCTTCTAAAAAATTTTATTATTATTATTTTTTTTTATTTTTATTTTTTCATTTTGAAATTCCTGGGTCACTTATCTTGTCCTAGAATACAGTCTGTAAATTATAACATGCACACTTCTTTGCAAAAATAGATATCAATTATCAAGCAAAGTACTGATGAAAATAATCCAAGTAGATTTGCATGTTTATTAGTGTAACGGTTGTCAATCTCCAATGTTCTCATTTTCGAGATTTTCGTTAAGATGGAACACTTCTGTATCGTTAGGTGAATTTGGCATTGCAATCTCCAAGAATTCGGGAATGGTGTCGCCGCTGGAATTTGGTTGCGGAGAAGGTGGAGGTGGAGGAGGAGGTGTTAACGTTATCGATTGTCCGGATGAGCCGTATCCCAGTCCGTAATGTTTAGATCGAATATATACAGTAAGCGGCATTTGAATCCCTTGTCCGTCTTTACCTAATCCGCTTCCTGGTTCCCAACCCATATTTTTCAACATTATATTTCCAAGATTTGATTCTGGAATTGGCCCTGATGTTTCACCAACAAAACCTTCAAATAGTAGAATAATTATTATTGATAATACTCTTTAAACACAACTCCTTACTAAAAAATCATTAATTTTTAAGATAACCAAAAAAATTAGCTTGGATAAAAACTCCAAAGCCATAAATGACTTGGACATAATGATTTGAGTAAAAATTTCCAATCTAATCTGTTTGGTTTCCTAAAATAAAATTATATCTTTTAATAAAAAATCTTACAATTAATTTAAATATGTGAAATATAAAAATTATTATTATAATTTTTAATATCTAAAATATATGTATATTTCCAAAATTAACACACTTATTATTATACAAAAATAATTAACTAATGATAACTTTAATAAAACGATTTTACGTTTTTACTATCATCATAGATTCATGCATTCTGTTACTTGTCAATGGGATAAACCTTCAGGTGAGATTTATATTTTTTATTAATTTCAGAAAATTTGTTTCATATAATCAACATTTAATATTTAATGTACTATTTTCGACTAATTACGATAATACGATATAGTTAACACTTGTGCATTATTAGCTATACATTAAGGTATATAACAGTAAAAAAACAGCTTAAATACATGATAATAATAATAACATTTCATTTCATTTATTTATTATTAAGGAAGATAATAAAATTACAAAACTGATTATAATAGCAAAGTTTTATAAGTGTATTTTAAATTAAATGTTTTGTATGTGTTAATTCCAATAATACTATCCATGATTACAATAAGTAGATTATGATGTAAAGCATTTAAATAGATCAATGACTCAAAAATGATTTTTAGTTAAAAAAAAAATTTGAATATCCATCATTTTTGTATGATTTATGTCAAATAAAATATTTTAGCTATGTGAATTTCTTGATTTAAATTTTATGGCAAAGGTTTAATTAATACAAAATAAGCCATCAAGACTTTTCACTCACTCAGTAACTCTTTAATAAAATTATGTAACTCTTACAACATTCAAACAGAAATATGAAATAGAGAAATCCATAAATATCAGTTATAGTTATAATTAATTACAATGCCAGAAATAATTCTCTTAGTTTTTATGTATTAAGGAAAATAGAAATAAAAAAAAATTTTGTAGAAAGTCCTTGTCTGACTATTTTACACATTCTAACAGTAGTGATAAATTTTAAAGTAATTAACCTTTAAACATTTTTATTTATTTACTAAGAAAGTTAGTCCTTGAAAGATTTAAACTTTATTTTTCTTTTTAAAATTTTAAAACTGTCGATTGAAATAATTCCAAAGTATGTTCAATATATTATTTATTTCATCAGTTATCTTGTAACTAAATATATCTTGTAACAATATATCTTGTAACTAAAGAAACCTAAAATAAAGTAGACAAATGTACTTTTAATATAAAAAGCTTATAACATTGTTCTATGTCCTATATTAATTTATATTTGCTCATAATGTCAATTTTATATACTTAAAATTTTCAATATAAATACAGTGTTACAAAAATGGTGGGCTAGCTTTTCACAGTCATACTATACTTACTAAAATGAAGAAAGAAAAAATTTATGTATGTACATGGTTTAAAATGATATACAGTCAAACCTTAGTTTTTGAACAAATCAGTTCACAAACAGAATTTCAAACTCATATTTTCCCCAGTTGCTGTACAATAACTCAGTTGCTGAACAAGCTATGTGGCAAGAGCCGACAACAGATTAGAGACATACAGATGGTCAACTCCCTATATTTTCTATGTTAAAGAAAGTCGATGGCCTGACCAATCAGCCACACAACTACTGATTTAGAAGTTAGTGTGAATGAGATTGTCTGTGTCACTAGATGTCATGACATAAATCATTGATGACGTTTCTATTTAAATTAGATTTCAATATGCATGCGGGAAAAATACTACTTCCATTGAATGTGTTACAGTTGAATTTACATTAAATTAATAAAAGCCATGTTAATTGACATTTATGTAATAAATGGCATCCAAGAATTTGTCTTTAAAGGTTGTTAAGTCAAATTAAATAACAAAAATTTATTATATATAATACAATATTATATCATATCATATACAATATTACATTGCATTTGTAGGCATTTTTAGCATGAAATACAACCAAAAATAGTAAAAAAAAAGTCTTTATTTTGGGGGTCATGAACAGATTAATCCTTTCTGTATTGTTTCTTATGGGAAAATTTGTTTCTATTTGAGAACAAATCAGTTATAAAACAACTTTTAGGAATGAATTATGTTTGAAAACCAAGGTTTGACTCTATTCCAAGGTTTATCCCCTTTATGTGTTGGCAGTATCCCATAGGTGATGCACAATTGTATGTATTATATGATGCTGATCACATTATTACTGTTAAATATGTTATTTGGATTTTTCTTACTACTTCAATCATGGAAGATGGATTTTGAATCGGCCGTGCAGAAACTTACAACTTGGCCCAAACAGTCTCTGGATCACAATTCCCTAAACTTCCACCCAAGTCATTTAAATGATTTGTACTCCAGTTCATGATACTGTAGATATTCAACAGAGTATAAAACAGATACCAGTATACCCTTTGAATATATCCTCTGAAAAATCTACCATGTCAGTAATTTTCTTAATTTGGCTTCACTGTTGTAACCTTACACTGTACTATTTGAATTGATTAAACATAATCATTTTGAACTGAATACAGATATTTTATTGTTAAAAGAAAAACTGAAAATGGGTATACCTCAGAAACAATGCATTTAACACAATATGCTAATATAAACTTTTTCATTTCTTTGAATATAGTACAACTGTTATTGCAGTACAGTGTTAATCATTACATAGAATTTTTTAAATAGATTTGCTGCATTGGCTATAAAGTAACTTTTGTAGTTTTACACAATACAGTAGCGTAGTGAGGGGGGTGCAAGGGGGTGTATCATGCACCGGGCGCCACTCGCAGAGGGGTGCCCAAATGGTCTTCAAGATAAACTATATGTGTTTCTGGAGGGGGAGGGGTGCCAATAAAGTGTTGTGCCCCGGTTATGTTCACTACGCCACTGACACAATAATACTATAATATATAGTACTATTAATATTGGACATAGTATTGTATACAATACTCTGTATCTATTATATTTTTGTTATCCTCTTGAGATGATCAATTTTCCTATGTTTTGGAGGTGGTCGACAAAAGTTTCACTGTATATATTTTTCTCAAATACTTGGAAACTAAATTATATTTACCTTGAACAACTGGCCCAACAGGAGGAGTCCTCCGTCTTCTTTTAATATCTCCTACAAATGACCTACTTACTGCAGGATCAATATTTATAGCTTGAGTTGTATGCCTAATAAATAATAATAATAATGAAAATTAAACAGAAATAGAATTTTCAAAACAATCTGCATAACAAAATATTCACAATTGTGCATCCTGTATTTGAGAATTTGCCATCATTTTTCTATTTACTATTAGAAAAATTTAAGTTAAATTTATAGTCTCCATCAACAATAAATTCTTGATGAAAACGATTATAGAAATCCAAACTTAATTAAGCATATCAGAGTAGAAAACTGTAGTTAATAAATTAGCTGAGAAGGATTTGATGATTTAGAAATGACCAACACTACAGAGAAGTTACATCAAAGGATCCAAAAGAATTAATTACAAATGATAAATAATGACTTTAAAATGAAGAAGAAAGCCTCAACTTCAGAGAATTCATAATAAAAAGCAGCATCAAGATTCAAAAATAATAATACAAACATACAAAAATTAATTTTTTATAGGAAAATATGTTTTTTCACACATAAAACATTCTTTTCTTATTAATAACAAAAAATGACATTTTACATGCTTAATATTTTTGAAAATAGAGTTCTATTTATATTATGTGTAACATTCTGCCTAACAAAAGTTTAAATTTTGAAGTTTTTCTGAATATAATCTTAAAAGTATGCCATTTTACTATATTCTTAATATTGTTGGAAGCTTATTGTGGAATTTTAATATAAAAGTTAATAAATATAAACAATACCACTTTCATTATTTTTATAACAACATTGATTTTTTCACGTGAAATATCTTATAATTAGCATGGTCAAGGAGTGTTCGATGTTTTTAAATCATGCAGATGCAAAGATGCTAAAGTCATCTAAAGATTTTCAGACTTTATATCAAAATATAACTGTTTTTTATAGCAATATAATTAAATTTGTCCTAATTATTTTTATATTTGTAACTTCACTGCTCATAGACAAAGTATATAATTTCAAGTATGCCATTTGCATATACCTAGTCATTTCTGCAATTATGGACAGAATCAGCTATAAATGAGAACAAACAAGCAGAATAAAGCAAACTGATGCAGTAGTAGTTAGCCTAACTTACTCTTAGCACTAATGTATTTATATGATGTATTACAAATTTGATCATTAAGTGCATAATTTTTATAAACTATGTTATAAATCATTATCCCATGAAGCCTGTTGAATTTTAGTAGGCAAATAATAGTATGGAATATCCATCTTTTGATTTTTTTTAATTGTAATATCTCACTTAAAATTTCTGTCAAAGTACAATTCCTTGATTAATGTGGTTAATTAATCCCTCGATGCTATAGTGTATATCAAAATTGCATTAATCAAATATGGTATCTATGTTAAGTAACAACAGCTGATAAAGCCATGTTAATTAAAACTTCTGTCATGCATATAAAGGGATTGCCATAATTAATTTCACGTGTTAAGCAAAACCATGCTAAACAAGGGAGACTTGTATTTGATTTTATCAAAAAACATATTTCTCTTAACAATTATAATTTCTTGTCTTTTTTTTTACAAGGATGCAAATTATTATTCATACACACTCAAAATTCAATTAAAGCCTGTTCTAATTGTAATAAAGTGCTTAATTTTAAATTATGCTCATTTGAAATCTATAAAAATATATATTAATTCAGCAGTGATAACCTTAATACTTTATATATAAAGTGAATATAATACAAAACATTCAATAATACGTAGTATATTTTTTAACAGCTCCAATTTAAAAATTTCAAACAATAATAAGCCATGTCATTTTATTGAACAATACTTTATGAAGTCCATAAATTTTAGTGCTTTCAAAGGCTAATGCTCATCTTCAGGGATAAAAACTCTTTGATATAAAAATATAATGTTAGGTGAAATGATCCTCCACTGTCACAAAATTCTAAAAATTTAAAATTTTTTTAAAATTCTATATTTGTTCCTATTATTTCTACCAAAAAAGAAACAGTTTAGCCTAGTATCTGGCACAATCCAAAAAATAGAAATTTTAAGACGTTTAAAAAATTTTTGAAATTTATTCCAAGTATTAAGAACTTGATTACAGCTACTTGGTTTTTTACAATATGTACATTTTTAATGTGATATTGTATTTTCTGAAATCATAATGAGTAAATATTCAAACTTTAATAACATCTAGAGTAAAATTTGTTTAAAAATCAGTCAAACTTTTGTAAGTGATAAATGGTAACAAAAATCCTTTTCATTATTTTAAAATTTTGAAGTTTTTACAAATTATATACCTCTGCTACCTTGTTTTTATTATAATAAACATCATTAGAAAATACATCATCCTTCATTTATACATTTTAAATCAGGTTATTCTCATTAATTTTTCTGAGAGGAGTAATACAGGAAGTTGGATTGAATAATAAACTTTTATGACTGACCATTTACAGTTTAGTCCAAGTTTTGTAAATGGAAATTAAAACATCTTCTTCCAACCCAAGCTCCTGCATGATTCTTGTGAAAAGTTATCATAATCTTGGAGAAAAATTATGTATAAAAATTAATAAGAAAGTATATAAATAAAGCAGTAAATAGAAATCAGTTTTCTGGCTGTGAGATGAAAGAATAAAACACAAACATTCAAAGTAGAAACTTACATATAGTATTTCATTCATTGAATAAAATTTTTGTGTTTTATCCATTTTTCTTACACTCAGGAAACTTATTTCTGTTTACCAGTAACATTAATGTGATGTATGCCATTTTATAAATTCAGTATAAATAATTTCAAAGTAGTTACCTTGTTTTAATAAGAATTGTATTATCTCCATCTCTGTTAAGATCCAATGAGTAGAGGGTAGCTACTTGATGCAACTATATAAATGAATTAAAACACATTTTTAAATGTTATAATCCTAATACTCAAAATAATTGTAAAATGTGTAAAGTTATTTTTTAATTATGTATATAATAAGGTCATATTAGAATTACAGTAACACATTTGCCAAATACAGGAAAAATCATTTGATGTTAGTGTGATATGCATGAATAATATATTGCAATGAAATAATTTTACTTAATGTATCAAAATTTATAAATAAGTAAATATGATATTTGAATGCTACACATTCCAATGTCATATTTATTGATTTATAAAACTATTTTTAATTCATTTTACTTTATCTTATAATATAATTGAGATGGGTTAATGATAATAATAATAATAAGTGCAGAGCCCAAACAGTTAGGAGTTGAAAGTTGAAATTTCGTACACAGTTAAGGTACATTACGAGAATGTACTGTACACTAAGAAGGGATTTTTGGAAATTCCCCCATGGGGGAGAGGGAGAGAACTAAGGCTTATCCTAAAAAACTCAGCTTCTACTGTACTATTTTAGATGCAATTTTTTTATTTTTAACTATGTTTTAGTAAGGTATGCCATGAGAATGCACCCTAATAAGAAATTTTTGGAAATTCCCCGCAGGGGAGAGTAGAGGGTTAAGGATTACCTTGAAGAACTCAGCTTCTACTGTACTATTTTAGATATGATTTGTGTTTTTGACTGCATTTTAGTAGGGTATGTATGCCATGAGAATGCACATTAAGAAGGGATTTTTGAAAATTCCACACCCCGAGGGAAGAGGAGGAGAGAGTTAGTTTCAGTCAGTATAAAGTGTAAATAATAAAGAAGAAAAGTAAATAGTGGCACATATAGTATACATTTTGGAAATTAATAAACATTTTTATCATTTCCACTCTTTGGGTAACCCAAAAATAATAAATCCAAAATAAACAAATTCGAACAAATATTTGAATTGGCTCCAAATTTGAAAAATTCAAAATATAATGTTTCAAACAAGTTTTTTAGATTTTAGAATTTAAAATTAATCATTTTATTCAAGTAAGGTTATCATCAAGTAAGTTAATTCTCTATTATAATGAGAATTAACTTACTTGCCTGAGCAATGCAGGGCTCATCTGCTAGTTTCAAATAATACAGCCAAATTCTTATTGGGTCCAATAAGAATTTGGCTGTATTAATCAGGTTTGGTTTTATAGGTAATTTCATTATATTATTTAGTGATATAATTTCATTTGCTAATTTTTGATTTCACATGAGTTATTCTTACATTAACTTCTCATAAAATTTGATAATAAATAAAGCTGTCAATGTTTTTCTAATTATGAAAATTTATATTATATTTATATTATTCATGTGTTTACAATACACTTCATAATATCAAAATAATTTCAGTTAAAGTAATCAAATGTATTATCAAATTAAAGCCAGACAATTTGCCAAATTATTGAGCTACAAAAAAACTAAGTTAATAATTTGATATGGCAGTTTAACCATCGACCATAATTGTTAACTTAGCCTTATTATAGTGATAATTTTGCAGATCAAAAATCAGGGTTGAAGCTGTTGTTTTTTTATTAAATTAATTTAATGTAATTGTAATTTTATAAATTTTTGCCTAATTTCTTTAAAGATTACATTTTATACAAATGCTATCTACATTTTGTATAATTATTAATACTTAAATCCCTTACATTAATCTGAAATTTAATATAACAGGAGTTGGCAAGCAAGAGTTCAGTGGGAGCCGAAATGTAGGTTTTGCAAAAAGCATGGGAGCTGCAGTTCTGTACTTTTTTATTCTGTACCACAGTTCTGTACTGCAATTTTATTATATAATATACATATAATATTTTAAAAATATTGAATTTTTTTAATAAACATATTTTCACAAAATTGTGGAAATAAAAATAATAATAAAAAACAGAAATTAACACTTTCAGCAAGAGCTGCATGTAACTCAAAAAGAGCTGCATTTGTCCATGTCTGTAATATAACATAATAAATTTATTTTTTAATTTAAGTGATATTTTTTAACATGTTTAAAAATGTAATAAATAATTCCAAAAATTACCATCCATTAATTCTGCAATTTATTTATTCTATTTACTTTTTTACCTAAATTAATTTTTAATTTAATTTAATGCATAACTTCTACAAAAGCAGTAAATATTGATTAAAAAAAAACTCTATTTAAAACTTTCAAAAATTTTCGAAGTATTTTAAAATTTAGAAAAAAATCTAAAAAGTTTTTAATCATAATTTTAAACTTCATCATTTGATGAAGTATATTAAATATTTATTCCTTACCACTTAAGCAAACATACTATAAAATAGACTGGCATATCACAAAATTTTTGTTCATCACCAAATTATGTCATACTATTAAAACCAGACTTAGAAGAATATTGAATATTCTGTGTTCCTAAATCTATATGACCCATTATATAATCACAATGTACCTCTTCGTATTCTTTCTGTTGTAAGTGACGTAAACACAATCTATAAAAAAAAATAATAATAATAATAAATACCTACATAAATATATATCTTTTATAATTATATTATAGTATTTATTATGAATGTATTAACATGTATTTTAACTTTTTATAATGAAAATTACAAATATTGTTACAAACAACATTTGTAAAATTGGTATTTCACTTTTGAATTATAAAATGTCAATAAACTATAAAAACAAGTCCATATTCATGATAAAATAGTTCCACAATTGATGAAGTAACAACAATAAAAGACATTTTCTTGTAGACTACTGCTGAAATTAGTTTTATTCTCTCTATAGTTCTGTGGAAATTGCCATAACTATTTTATCATAAACAGACTTACTTTTTATAGTTTATTTATTTTTTAAATCATTTATTGAACTTATTTCAATAAATAATGCAATAAATATGTAGAATGAATAATAATACAGGTATCCCTCATATAACATGATAGTTATATTCTGAAAATGTGTCATGTTATGCAAATATGTGCTATACAAAACAAAGGACTGATGCAAAACATAGGATTATGTTCCAGAAGTTAGTAAAAGTATACTATTCTTTTTTGTTACTAAGAGAAATATGTTTATTAAAGCAATCAATAATTAATTAACAATCACAATTAAAAGTACTGTATTATGCATTAATATGAATTTTAGCTAAATGAGGACATTTTCTTTTTACAAAGTATCGCCATCATCTCAGCTTTTTTGTTGAACTTGATCAGAAATATCAGCAACATTTTCATATTTTTTATTTTTATAAAAAATTTTTTATGGGTGACAAATAAATATTAATTGAAAATTTATTCTAGCAGGTCGTGTCTGTTTAGTCATGTACTGAGTGTATCTGAATTTGTATTCGATTACCAAAATACCGCCATATTTCATTCATCATTTTTACAAATGAAGTAATCATTCATAGGTAAGTAATACCTACAGTTAAAAAAAGTTTAACAACACTTACCTAAAAATGTTTAAGTAAATTTTACTAAATATGAAGATTAATCTATAAAAAAAAAACATACTGACAATCTTAAGGGCTAAAGTCTGAATGCAATGACAACAACACCTGGTTGATAAGAAAGTTAGTGCAAATTTTTTCTTCCTTGACCTATCAGTTTTCATTAAAGTAAACCTGACGAAAAGCACAAAATAATTTAAAAATTTCAGTATTCTAAAATCCACAGGCAAATTTGAGACAACTTGCATGCTTACTTGAATAAAATAAATATCGAATAACGAAGTTTACACTTAAAAATTGTGAAATTTTGTACGAATGATTTCCAAAATTGTGTTAGTGTGAAACCAAAAGTTGTGCTGTATGGGGATAAAACAGTGTTGCAGAAGTAACATGTTGTACGAAGGATACTTGTACTTCCACTCAATTTTTTGTGAAGTTTTGAAACTGAAGCCACAAGCTGTTTAGCAATTTAATAAATCTGACTGTTTTATTATGCTACTGATGTTTTTGTTCTATTCTGTTGATAAAAGAAGCTGATTAAAATTGCATCATTTTTACTAATCAACAATCCTTATTAAAAATATATTTTTAATAATTGCTAGCCTAAAAAACTGTCTTTTGAAAAATATAAATATAGTTTAGTAGAATATTGTTTTGCTCCAACCTCCTTCAAAAACTTTAAATGTAATATATAAATTAAAGTGGGATGTAATCATCAATACAGTTTATTATAGTGACCTAATGAGAAAATAATATTCTATCCTGAATGATAGTATGAAAATGAGTCATGCTTTCATTAGAAGAGCTGGTTCATAACATAGTGCAGATTACCATTTGATTTTGTTTTCTGGATAGCTTACTCAGTAAGATGCATGTACACAAAGGAGTTACTTCCAATAATAAAGATAGAGTATATACTCCATGCAGTCAGGAGAAAACTGGATTTTTCCAATATAAAAAAAACAAAAAAGATATTTAAATGAAATTTTTGTTTTATTCAATGTAATCCCCTCCCATATCGATACATGTTTTGGAACACTTGTACAGCCATTCAAACATTTTGAATATTCTTTCAAAGTTACAGTGCCGAGGACACTCATCACATTCTTCTGGATACTTTCTAGGTCAATGTTGTGTTGCCCCTTAAGTGCCATTTTGAACTTGGGGAACAATGCAAAGTCTGCAAGGGGCAAAACCCGGTAAATAGAGGGTATGATCTAGTACAGTTATCTCTTTATTGGCCAAAAACTGGCACACCTTGAGACAAGTGCACCAGTTTTTGGCCATGCATTATCATATAGAAGGATCCAGTTTTTGGCTTGGTACATGGCAGGTTGTACTCAGCGAATGTGGAGTTTTTGCCCAATTCTTGCAAAATTTCATTCAAATGGTCAACAAAAATATCCATTCAAAATGACTTTTTTTGAATGGCTATTTTTGTTTTTTTGCAATGTTATTTCTACATGAATTGTTTAAAACAATCAAAATTGTTTTCCTAGTTTTCAATGATAAAACTATTGCTCTAATTGCTTTTTAATTTATGAAAAACAGAAATTAAGTTGACTTTATACAAAATTACCATCAAGAGCAATTCTAAATCTTCATTACTCCAATAACTCCAAATCTTCTTTGTATAACCTTCTAAACAATTTTCCAGTAGCTTATTATCTTGATAACAACTAAAGTTTTCAATCCTTCACCTGGATCTTCTTCAAGTTGAATGTAAATGATGTGTTTTTAAAAATGTTCTGTTAATTGAGTGAGTCTGCAAATCAAATTTGCTGCATGACGTTATTGTTATAAAGCGGAGCACAATATATAAACCTATTTCAAATTTTTAATTTTGATATTNCCATCAAGACTTTTCACTCACTCAGTAACTCTTTAATAAAATTATGTAACTCTTACAACATTCAAACAGAAATATGAAATAGAGAAATCCATAAATATCAGTTATAGTTATAATTAATTACAATGCCAGAAATAATTCTCTTAGTTTTTATGTATTAAGGAAAATAGAAATAAAAAAAAATTTTGTAGAAAGTCCTTGTCTGACTATTTTACACATTCTAACAGTAGTGATAAATTTTAAAGTAATTAACCTTTAAACATTTTTATTTATTTACTAAGAAAGTTAGTCCTTGAAAGATTTAAACTTTATTTTTCTTTTTAAAATTTTAAAACTGTCGATTGAAATAATTCCAAAGTATGTTCAATATATTATTTATTTCATCAGTTATCTTGTAACTAAATATATCTTGTAACAATATATCTTGTAACTAAAGAAACCTAAAATAAAGTAGACAAATGTACTTTTAATATAAAAAGCTTATAACATTGTTCTATGTCCTATATTAATTTATATTTGCTCATAATGTCAATTTTATATACTTAAAATTTTCAATATAAATACAGTGTTACAAAAATGGTGGGCTAGCTTTTCACAGTCATACTATACTTACTAAAATGAAGAAAGAAAAAATTTATGTATGTACATGGTTTAAAATGATATACAGTCAAACCTTAGTTTTTGAACAAATCAGTTCACAAACAGAATTTCAAACTCATATTTTCCCCAGTTGCTGTACAATAACTCAGTTGCTGAACAAGCTATGTGGCAAGAGCCGACAACAGATTAGAGACATACAGATGGTCAACTCCCTATATTTTCTATGTTAAAGAAAGTCGATGGCCTGACCAATCAGCCACACAACTACTGATTTAGAAGTTAGTGTGAATGAGATTGTCTGTGTCACTAGATGTCATGACATAAATCATTGATGACGTTTCTATTTAAATTAGATTTCAATATGCATGCGGGAAAAATACTACTTCCATTGAATGTGTTACAGTTGAATTTACATTAAATTAATAAAAGCCATGTTAATTGACATTTATGTAATAAATGGCATCCAAGAATTTGTCTTTAAAGGTTGTTAAGTCAAATTAAATAACAAAAATTTATTATATATAATACAATATTATATCATATCATATACAATATTACATTGCATTTGTAGGCATTTTTAGCATGAAATACAACCAAAAATAGTAAAAAAAAAGTCTTTATTTTGGGGGTCATGAACAGATTAATCCTTTCTGTATTGTTTCTTATGGGAAAATTTGTTTCTATTTGAGAACAAATCAGTTATAAAACAACTTTTAGGAATGAATTATGTTTGAAAACCAAGGTTTGACTCTATTCCAAGGTTTATCCCCTTTATGTGTTGGCAGTATCCCATAGGTGATGCACAATTGTATGTATTATATGATGCTGATCACATTATTACTGTTAAATATGTTATTTGGATTTTTCTTACTACTTCAATCATGGAAGATGGATTTTGAATCGGCCGTGCAGAAACTTACAACTTGGCCCAAACAGTCTCTGGATCACAATTCCCTAAACTTCCACCCAAGTCATTTAAATGATTTGTACTCCAGTTCATGATACTGTAGATATTCAACAGAGTATAAAACAGATACCAGTATACCCTTTGAATATATCCTCTGAAAAATCTACCATGTCAGTAATTTTCTTAATTTGGCTTCACTGTTGTAACCTTACACTGTACTATTTGAATTGATTAAACATAATCATTTTGAACTGAATACAGATATTTTATTGTTAAAAGAAAAACTGAAAATGGGTATACCTCAGAAACAATGCATTTAACACAATATGCTAATATAAACTTTTTCATTTCTTTGAATATAGTACAACTGTTATTGCAGTACAGTGTTAATCATTACATAGAATTTTTTAAATAGATTTGCTGCATTGGCTATAAAGTAACTTTTGTAGTTTTACACAATACAGTAGCGTAGTGAGGGGGGTGCAAGGGGGTGTATCATGCACCGGGCGCCACTCGCAGAGGGGTGCCCAAATGGTCTTCAAGATAAACTATATGTGTTTCTGGAGGGGGAGGGGTGCCAATAAAGTGTTGTGCCCCGGTTATGTTCACTACGCCACTGACACAATAATACTATAATATATAGTACTATTAATATTGGACATAGTATTGTATACAATACTCTGTATCTATTATATTTTTGTTATCCTCTTGAGATGATCAATTTTCCTATGTTTTGGAGGTGGTCGACAAAAGTTTCACTGTATATATTTTTCTCAAATACTTGGAAACTAAATTATATTTACCTTGAACAACTGGCCCAACAGGAGGAGTCCTCCGTCTTCTTTTAATATCTCCTACAAATGACCTACTTACTGCAGGATCAATATTTATAGCTTGAGTTGTATGCCTAATAAATAATAATAATAATGAAAATTAAACAGAAATAGAATTTTCAAAACAATCTGCATAACAAAATATTCACAATTGTGCATCCTGTATTTGAGAATTTGCCATCATTTTTCTATTTACTATTAGAAAAATTTAAGTTAAATTTATAGTCTCCATCAACAATAAATTCTTGATGAAAACGATTATAGAAATCCAAACTTAATTAAGCATATCAGAGTAGAAAACTGTAGTTAATAAATTAGCTGAGAAGGATTTGATGATTTAGAAATGACCAACACTACAGAGAAGTTACATCAAAGGATCCAAAAGAATTAATTACAAATGATAAATAATGACTTTAAAATGAAGAAGAAAGCCTCAACTTCAGAGAATTCATAATAAAAAGCAGCATCAAGATTCAAAAATAATAATACAAACATACAAAAATTAATTTTTTATAGGAAAATATGTTTTTTCACACATAAAACATTCTTTTCTTATTAATAACAAAAAATGACATTTTACATGCTTAATATTTTTGAAAATAGAGTTCTATTTATATTATGTGTAACATTCTGCCTAACAAAAGTTTAAATTTTGAAGTTTTTCTGAATATAATCTTAAAAGTATGCCATTTTACTATATTCTTAATATTGTTGGAAGCTTATTGTGGAATTTTAATATAAAAGTTAATAAATATAAACAATACCACTTTCATTATTTTTATAACAACATTGATTTTTTCACGTGAAATATCTTATAATTAGCATGGTCAAGGAGTGTTCGATGTTTTTAAATCATGCAGATGCAAAGATGCTAAAGTCATCTAAAGATTTTCAGACTTTATATCAAAATATAACTGTTTTTTATAGCAATATAATTAAATTTGTCCTAATTATTTTTATATTTGTAACTTCACTGCTCATAGACAAAGTATATAATTTCAAGTATGCCATTTGCATATACCTAGTCATTTCTGCAATTATGGACAGAATCAGCTATAAATGAGAACAAACAAGCAGAATAAAGCAAACTGATGCAGTAGTAGTTAGCCTAACTTACTCTTAGCACTAATGTATTTATATGATGTATTACAAATTTGATCATTAAGTGCATAATTTTTATAAACTATGTTATAAATCATTATCCCATGAAGCCTGTTGAATTTTAGTAGGCAAATAATAGTATGGAATATCCATCTTTTGATTTTTTTTAATTGTAATATCTCACTTAAAATTTCTGTCAAAGTACAATTCCTTGATTAATGTGGTTAATTAATCCCTCGATGCTATAGTGTATATCAAAATTGCATTAATCAAATATGGTATCTATGTTAAGTAACAACAGCTGATAAAGCCATGTTAATTAAAACTTCTGTCATGCATATAAAGGGATTGCCATAATTAATTTCACGTGTTAAGCAAAACCATGCTAAACAAGGGAGACTTGTATTTGATTTTATCAAAAAACATATTTCTCTTAACAATTATAATTTCTTGTCTTTTTTTTTACAAGGATGCAAATTATTATTCATACACACTCAAAATTCAATTAAAGCCTGTTCTAATTGTAATAAAGTGCTTAATTTTAAATTATGCTCATTTGAAATCTATAAAAATATATATTAATTCAGCAGTGATAACCTTAATACTTTATATATAAAGTGAATATAATACAAAACATTCAATAATACGTAGTATATTTTTTAACAGCTCCAATTTAAAAATTTCAAACAATAATAAGCCATGTCATTTTATTGAACAATACTTTATGAAGTCCATAAATTTTAGTGCTTTCAAAGGCTAATGCTCATCTTCAGGGATAAAAACTCTTTGATATAAAAATATAATGTTAGGTGAAATGATCCTCCACTGTCACAAAATTCTAAAAATTTAAAATTTTTTTAAAATTCTATATTTGTTCCTATTATTTCTACCAAAAAAGAAACAGTTTAGCCTAGTATCTGGCACAATCCAAAAAATAGAAATTTTAAGACGTTTAAAAAATTTTTGAAATTTATTCCAAGTATTAAGAACTTGATTACAGCTACTTGGTTTTTTACAATATGTACATTTTTAATGTGATATTGTATTTTCTGAAATCATAATGAGTAAATATTCAAACTTTAATAACATCTAGAGTAAAATTTGTTTAAAAATCAGTCAAACTTTTGTAAGTGATAAATGGTAACAAAAATCCTTTTCATTATTTTAAAATTTTGAAGTTTTTACAAATTATATACCTCTGCTACCTTGTTTTTATTATAATAAACATCATTAGAAAATACATCATCCTTCATTTATACATTTTAAATCAGGTTATTCTCATTAATTTTTCTGAGAGGAGTAATACAGGAAGTTGGATTGAATAATAAACTTTTATGACTGACCATTTACAGTTTAGTCCAAGTTTTGTAA